ATTATAAAGAACAACAACAAACAATGTAAGCAAGTATTAAATACCCTATTCTAATATTAATGCAGGATTACTGATCTGTTTGCTTATATCCAAAGTTTCCACAGAGCACAAATTTAATACTAAATGGATTGTAAGGACAAAATTTCCCCCAAATTACGTTTTTACATTATTTCATATTAAGTATTAAATAATAACTATGAACTGTTAAATGTGTTGACTAAAACTGTTATTAGGCCTATTTGTATCAGACTGATTAAATAATATTTATGCTGCAGCATTCTAGATTAATGCCTTAGCAAAATCGTTCCTTCCTCATTGTTTAGTCTCCTCTCAGATGCAAAGTGAGGAAGATGGTGCTCTCATTCACATCCAGCATCTGCAGTTCTGGTTAAATGTGTGATACCTACGTATGTCATCGGTTTCTGGGAATATGTAATAAGTGCAGAATACTAAAGGAAAATTACGTTTTATGCATTTTTTTCCAGACCTAAAACATGACCAGTGTGGTTGTGGTACGTACTTCACAAAGAAAAAAAAATAAAATAGATGTAGAACAGTATTAAACAGGCTAGAAATAGGCCTAATAACACTGAAATGCTCAGCAGTTTGCTAACATTCAAAGATTTTCACAGATCATAAATAAAATTTTCCGTTGACTGAAATGGACCGAAAAGACATCATTTAATCTCTTTTGCCCAAACAACTTTACTTTACTGTTAACAAATGTCTTGAGTCAACTGTTATCTCCACCAGACTGATTAAATGTTATTAAAACTGTAGTATTTTAGATTAATGCCTTAGCAAAATCATTCCTTCCTCCTTGTTAGCCTCCTCTCAGACGCAGAGTGAGAAAGATGGTGCTCTCATTCGTAACATCATAGTCCTCCAGTTTCTTGCCGTCTTCCATCTGCCTTCCCTCGTAGATAAGCCTTTGTTGGTCAACAGCGACACGCTCCTTATTGAAGACTTTCCTCTTGAACTCCGACACCGTCTCACCTGGAGTGATTTCATAAGTATGTATCGTACCATTTACTGTCTTCAGGAACACCTGTATGGGACCAGGCTCGGTTACCAGCACGATAACTGTAGACCCCGAGCGCACCCCATACTCCGCCAGTGTTCTGGACTCATCAGTCAGGTCTCTTCTCTGGCCATTCTGCACAGATAGGCGCTGTCTGGCGCTAGGTGTGCCTTGTTTGATTTGGATCAGGTTCTTCAGTTTCTCGATGGTTGTATTCAGTTCCACTGACAATCTGAGCGTTTGCCCATTCAAGAATTTGATGAACAGATCCATAGTGTCAAACCTCGGAAATCTGTGAAGGTTGTTAAAAAAATACAACACTATATCAACAACTGAACACAAAACTGTCACGACTTCCAGGGCACAGCCCGGGGAAACAGGCGAAGACAACGAAGGATCGGGGAAATAAGGGGTACAGGCTATAAGGCTATAAGGGGCACACAGGAGGATCGGACGTGCAGGGTGTGACAAAAACCTTAAAAGATTACACTGTAACTCCTGTCTCTATAATATTAATTTCAACTCAGCACCGAGAAGAGTTCAGTAGATAATACAAAATGAAATTCATGGAAACGCCTCAGTTATCGCAAATAAATAAATTTCCACGTATACGTCAAATTAACGAACTTGTCACTCACCTTGTCCGTAACGGGGTAGTTGATTGTTCAAGGATAATTTCTTATTACAGTCAAGTATGCGTATAATCCTTATCGTCGCTGTATCGCGCTGAATGAAGTCCGTAGCCTACGGTCCTTATAAACAGCTGATAGGTCCACCCCCTGATACTAAATGCCGTTAAGTTTCATTTTCCCTACATCACTTGTTAGTTTTCGGTTTCTATGTTTTGACTCATCCTTCATTTTTTTCTTTATGTAATTATACGTTGATATCTCTTAATATTACACTCTTAATTGCCTTGACTTGAATGTAAACGCGTTGATACTTTAATTTATATGCGTTAGGTCTTTTTAGGCAGTTGCGTTAAGAGACTACCGTGCCGAAGAGCAAGCCTACTAACTAGTAGCGGTGCGCGGGTAAATAACTAGGGAAGCCAAGTGAAGTCGCCGTCACTGCCACTTGTGGCCCAGCGTTTATTCGTTAAATGACTCAATGTATTACATGCTTCTAAATACATCCACCTGGAATGCATTGTTGACATCAGAAAGCAACGCCGTCCTTTTATTAGAACGGGTAAAAAAATATTTCAAGAATCGAGTGTTACAAAGAACACGTTAGATTCTTGTAGGCATGGCTCGAAGCACCAGCTAGCAAAGGTTGCCCGCTTTTGTGTTATAGGTCAGCGATTCTTAACCCATGAGTCGCGACCCAAATTTGGCTGGCGGCAAGTTCTCAAAGGGTCGTGAGGCAGAGTTGGAAATGTAAGCATTGTAAAACTAGCAATTGCCTATGCTGATCCACGATCAGATTTCCCAGCCTTAGAATTAACGTACGACTATATATTTCAATTCAATTAAATTTTATTTGTATAGTGCGTTTTCACAACATTACATTGTTTGAAAACACTTTATGACACCCTTAAAAGAAGGCTCCCAGTAAAGCTGGATGTCATCAGCATAAAAATGATTAGAAATATACTTAAGAGTTAAGGCCGTCAATTAATTGTGTAGTCTAGCCAGGTATGGGGTATGCTGCAGCACCAAATGAAATAAAAACCCTCTTTGGAGTGAAATGTAAACATCCACATCCTCTGTGAAGATGAAGAAGTTGTCATCTTCCTATGCTGCAGCAGCAGCTTGAATTCATATATTTTGCTAGTCACAACATACACTATATTGCCAAAAGTATTGGGACACCTGCCTTTACATACACATGAACCTTAATGATGAAGCATTCTTAATACATAGGGTTTAATATGGAGCTGGCCCACCCTTTGCAGCTATAACAGCTTCAACTCTTCTGGGAAGGCTGTCCACAAAGTTTAGGAGTGTGTTTATGTGAATTTTTGACCATTCTTCCAGGAGAGCATTTGTGAGGTCAGGCACTGATGTTGGATGAGAAGGCCTGGCTTGCAGTCTCCACTCTAATTCATCCCAAAGGTGTTCTATTGGCTAGAGGTCAGGGCTCTGCAGGCCAGTCAAGTTCCTCCACACCAGACTCATTCATCCATGTCCTTAAAGACCTTGCTTTGTGCACTTGTACGCAGTCATGTTGGAACATGAAGGGGCCATCCCCAAAGTTGGGAGCATGAAATTGACCAAAATGGCTTTGAATGCTGCAGAATTAAGAGTTCCTTTCACTGGAACTAAGGGGTCAAATCCAACCCCTGAAAAACAACCCACCATAATCCCTCCTCCACCAAACATTACACTTGGCACAATGCAGTCAGGCAAGTACCATCCTCCTGGCAACCAGCAAACCCAGACTCGTCCATCAGATTGCCAGACAGAGAAGCGTGATTTCTCACTCCAGATAACATGTCTCCACTGCTCTTTACACCACTGTATCTGACGCTTTGCATTGCTTGGTGATGTAAGGCTTGGATGCAGCTGCTCGGACATGGAAACCCATTTCATGACGCTCTCTATGCACTGTACTTGAGCTAATCTGAAGGCCACAAGAAACCTGGAGGTCTGTAGCTATCGACTCTGCAGACAGTTGGCAACTTCCATGATTATCACTAGGGCAAATAAGGTCAGCCCCTTGTTTTAAGTATCAGTGAAAAGGAAGTAAATGAAAGAAAACAAGCCAACATCAAATGTAAAGCAATTAGTCACCTGAGTTATTGCTAAACATGATGTAGCGTGACATAGCATACCTATGTGGAGGTTATGTTTCATAAACAAAGACATTTGTCAACTTCTCTCACATTTTGATTTATATATTCATGGCACAGGAATTTCTGTAAGTCAACAAAATTCATGTGTAGGCTTCTTCTGCAATAAAATTTTATAGTTCCCTAATTTTAATCACAGTATGTTGTTCTTTGAATTTCTTGTTTAAACCTTTTACTTTGTGATGTATCATAGTTTTCACTAATGAAATATGATTTAAATATATATTTCATTCATGTGAAAATAACTTCAAATTCGGATAAACAGTGACTTTGTGAATTACAAAAATGTTACTTATCCTCTAACACTAATCACTCCTATAGGTGCTGCTTGACACTAGTTGTCCCCTTTTCTGTTGGATCATTATCTTCAACTGACCAACAGTTGTATTCATGTTAGTGATATAGTACTCGAGACCATTCTGGCAACCACTTTGTTGCAATGTTGGTTTCAACTCGGAATCAACTTGATTGTCTCGATCTCTGACATAGAGTACTCGAGGTTTTATTCCCAGACCAGTCATGACCACTCATCAAAACCCCTCAATATTTATCACTACGGCTTAATATTCATATGTTTGTTAACCCTGAGAACCCAGCAAACGCGAAATGCATTGATTTTCGCACCCATTAGTCTCAGGTTCATAACTTTGGATTGGCATAACACATAGATATGGATTGCAAATCTTTGCAATTGAGAGAATTTACTCGATCCAGTCATCCAAGGTGCAACGATGTGCGCTAAAATATTCCAGAATAATCCTGTGCGCAATGAGGCATATATTTTAAACATTTTCTATGTAAAAGCACCCCTAATAATCTATAAAACATTGGTATTATTCATATTAGATGGAAAACAAATCGCATATCCACAATGATACATGCAGTACCTTACTGGGAAAAAGCATTGGTAACAATTTACTTAAAGCAGTCATCATATTGCATTATACATACCTTCATAATGCATTATACTACATTTAGAAAGTATTATAATCACGGCTATAATTATTCATAAAAAGGCATAACACATTATAGTCATATGTGTGTTATACATTGAGTTCTACTAGAAATAACAAAACACAGCATTCTATTTAGTAGGAAGACAATTACTGATATTTTTGCAATATTTATTCACAAAAGTTTGTATGTGTGTCTGATGTTGAGCTCTGCCAAAACAAAATGCGCCCATTGTATAAGGAAAACCTACTATATGTAAACATAATGACGTGCTGCCACGTTGGTATGTTGTTTGAAGCTAAAATGCCTACTAATAGTTGCATTTACAAATTTCAATTTACCAATCATAAGTGTAACACTCTGGTCTTGGTACTGACTTGGCCTCCGTTTAAGTGGCCTTGACTACATTATTAATTCATGTCCAAAAAACATTTGCTCAGTTAAATCCAATATTAAATCCATAGTGAGAAGCATCAGAAACCTGTAAAGTCAAAAATAAAAAATGATTACAAAACTTTTACAAAAGATTTGTTGTAATACCAATCTCCTAATGTTAATTTGAACAGATCAAGATCATCTTGGTAGATAATTCAAAATCAAAATATAGAAACGCTTAAGTTAGCTCAAATATACAGTAAATTGATACAAACTCCTTGTCAGATAAACTCACCTCATCTGTAATGAGTTAGTCGATTGCTTGACGAGACAGTCACCTCTCCACCTAACTGCAAACATGGAGAAAGTACAAGTCCATCATGACCTCACCAACATGCCATCACCACAGTTTGGTTCCTGTAACCATCCAGCTGCTTAATAAACTTATCCAGCATCTCAATAATCACATCACCCATATGCAGTCCATTCACCCAGACACAATTCTCTTCTTCCCATGTCTAGACTTTCAATCTCTCTGCGTTATATTGGTAAAGTGGAACAACAGAGAACAATTTTCATTTCTGAGTTCTGATGTAAACATCCCCCTGACACTCAAAAAAATGCCTTTAAGTTTTGTTTTCCTCACCTCATTTTTTTTTTCTTTTTGTTTTCAGTTTCTCGGTTGTAACTCTTCCATGTAGTGGTTTATTTATTTAATTACATATATTTTCAAGCATTTACTCTTATGCACTTAGTTTGCTAAAGAAATGTGTTTGTGTTCCAAAGTTTCAGAAAAAGCAGGACTTGTACTCTCCTTCAGAATTTGAATTAATTTACGCTTATTCAGCTATGTTACGTGCTTTAATGCTTATCTTCCGACCTCCTCACATTTTACACATCCATCTATCTATCCACACAACTTCTACATACCTATTCCGGTCAGGGTTGCTGCAACCTAGACTTCATGTGTGGGAGATAAATAAAATCAACATCTCCAATGGCTTCTAATGAAGCCACTTAGAATACAACTCCAGACCTCGCAGTTGGTGATATCACAGCGCTACAGATACACTCTGCTGCAAGCACAACGCACCCAAAAAGCAGCAAGTTAATATACTATAACACCAATTTCCCTATAAGTCCTGGCTGGTCACAAAACACCAGCAAACTAAGCTCAAAAATTCAACAAACATATTTCCCCACCTCTACTGGTCTACCTTGGCATCAGGGTGTTCACCTCTCAGCCAGCATCCCCCCACTTTACTCGATACTCACAATGCTGGGTGATAGTATCAGTGAAGAGGAAGTAAAAGACAAAAACAAGCAATCATGAAACATAAAGCGCTGAGTCACCTGGGTGTTATCATACATGACGTAGCATAACCAGGTGAAGGGACCGGAATAGAAAGTGAAACTCAAAGATATGTTTAATGAGTTTTAAGATGCTAAATTATTCACACAACTTACCAGCCTGTGATTAGCTCATTATATTACGAAGGGGGTTTCAGTGTTCACCTGTAACATTTTGCCTTTATCTTTGTGTTCATAAAGCCATTTTAATGGGTTTGTGGGGGTAGTATTATCCTGGAATGGAGGAACATAATGAGGGAATCTAAATGTATGTTTATCTGTGCTCTACAGACAAGAATTTATCTCAGGGATCAATGAAGTTCATTTATTTCTAAACTGTATCTACATGTCCCCATAAAATGGCTTCATATATACATAACTATTGTAATTTCACTATTAAAACGCTGTAGCAATTGTAAACCTGTAGCATGCCCCTGTTTATCTATCTATCTAACAGTGTTTTTACATTTGGTGGGGGCCTGGGCACCTGCTCCTTTTGCACGAACGATCGAAACTGCCGGAGCTCTTCTCCTGAGGGGCGCTTTTCGCTGAAGACAAAAGCGTACTCCATAGTGAACACAATTCAATTCTGTCGAGCTAATTCAGCACAGCATTGACAATAGTGGATTGCTGCCAAATTTATAATACGTGTCTGCAATCGATATCCGCGTCGCAATTTTTAGCTTAGTCTGCCTTAAACAGAATTAAGCTGTGCTACTTTTGAAACTAAAGACAATTTCTTACGATTATTTAAAAAATTCACACTCCGAAGACGATAAAACAAGTAAATCCAAAACCAACATTGCCAAGAACCCTTAACCGAAGACACGACTTTTAAACATACTTTTATACCTACACGAGTTGGCAACCAACTTACAGGTACATTACCGCGACCTACTGGACTGCAGTTTCGGTCAGTACCGACCTTCTTCCAATTGGCTAATTTATCGCATGGAGAAAAGTTAAACCTGGTCGTGATTGGCTGCATAAGGTAACCCCACCTACAATGGGTTTCTCGCATCACTAGTGGCCAAGGTCTCCAGCAGCAGTTCCCTTTGACCTCGATGGGGGCGTGGCTAAAAAAACCGTAGAAGGCGGTTAGAAATCTACTTCCTGCGCCGGGGGAGGCCATCCTTCGGACGGGTTATCAAAATAAAATAGTTAATAATAATATAATAAATACATTTATATACGCACACGTACCAGCTAGAGCTACACAACACGGACACAGGTATGTGTAATACGATTTATTCGAGCCATGTTTTATGTAGAAATGACTAGGAAAAACTAGCTGACTTATCGGTGCGCGGCGCTGGGATAGAGAACCGGAAGACGAGAATCTTAACAAAAGGATCCACTAGCTAGCGGTCAGCGGTGGTGTTAGCTAACCTTTTTCGGACCGAAGCATGGCGGGAACCACGTAACATTAAGGTTTTCGGGGCTTGGCGCCGCTGTGCTCGCTTTAACGTGTTGCCTGCGTGCAGTTGCCGCTTCTTGGCCGAGTCTCGGTGTCCCATGGGTGTCAAGTTCCGGGTAGGTCGGAACTGCTGCATGCGAGGCGATGCCTTTGCTGGGACTGAAGGGCCGTACTCCTTCACGGCACTAAAGGCGACTGAAGTTAAATATATATGCATTGTACAAATATAATTATGTTGTACTACTTTAGCAAACTACCTAGTTAGTCCCGGCACGAAACAGAGTTAGCTGAGCATATTTTACCTAATTTAATATCATAGATTAAATTTGAGGTTGGCTTATGTATATTATTAATGCACATACACTTTTAAAAGTAATACAGCAAGCTTTAGTGTGCGCAAATCCACTCTGAGTACACGAAGACCAGGTTCATAGTTCTGTCACAATATATAAATGGCTGAATAATAGTTTGATTTCGCGACACAGCCCTTGACGTTATCTGCATAAATAGTTCAGCGAACAATATAAATAGACCTGTCAATGTAGGCATTCGGTTTGCTTTAAATTGTATGCTTCCCAGTGTTACTGTTCAGATACTTTTCCACATAAACAACGGATTTTATTAACTCTTTGTGTTAGTACTACGTTTACAACGATTCCTTTATTTGTAAACTACTTAATGTGGAATAGGGTTGTAGGCAAATCCGTCCTTGCATTTGGTAATCGCTTTGTGTTTTTAACGTATCGGTCGTTGTAACGTTCTTGTGTTTTGGCAGAAAATTTATTTTTTGTTAAAGTATTTTTTATTTATCTTTATTAAGAAATAATGTTTAACTTGGTGGCAATCTGTGCTAAGCTTCCATATAAGCAGAGTGTAGCGTTGTCACAACACATAGTGTTGAGGATTAAAATTTTAAAATGATTTGTTTCTGGTTTGTCCTCTTAGGGCCAGTCCCAGCAAAGTCATGGCAGATGGAAGGATCTATGTGGGGAACCTTCCTATTGATGTGCAGGAAAGGGACATTGAAGACCTTTTCTTCAAATATGGCAAAATTCGAGATATAGAGCTGAAAAACAACAGGGGTACAATCCCGTTTGCCTTTGTCCGCTTTGAGGATCCACGGTTAGTTCTCAGTTATTTCTCTCAGTGCTGATATATTTTTGTTTTTATTGGTTTTTTTTTATCCTTTTGTAATGCAACAAAGTACAAATGATGTTGTATTTTAAATTGCTTAATCCAGGGATGCAGAAGATGCTGTATATGGCAGGAATGGATATGGGTTTGGAGACTGCAAACTACGTGTTGAGTACCCCCGCTCCTCCGGCTCCAAATTTAGTGGCCCCATGGGAATGGGTCCCCGAGGAAGGTTTGGGCCCCCAACGCGAAGATCTGAGTTTAGAGTAATAGTGACTGGTAGGTGGATGCTTGATCTTTCATTTGTTGTTTAATAGTTAAAAGGGAACTCATTATACGTGTCATTTTTGCATTTCTCCCCTTCTGCTCAAAGCCTCATGGTTTTCTTTTCTGCATTTTTATCATTAAAATATGTGGGAGGCAGCCCTTCATCAGTAACCTACACTATATATGCTGCATGACTCATAAAATTAGGGAAATTCAGAAAGGAATTAAAAACCGAAAAAGGCCAAAGCTACGTGGACCCCTGGAGGAGGTGACTGTTGCTGGGCTGACCTGGGCTATAGGGGTACAGATTCATCCAATAGGGTTTTATGCGCAGAAAGGTAAATGAAACCAAGGTGACAAATAATGTCGAAAGGAACTTACTTGCAGTGAATTGGAAAGAGCAGTATGATTGACTTGAGGAAACAAACATTCTGATTGTGAAGTATTAGGTCTGTTGAATCTCAGACATTTTATCCAATAAAATTGATATGAAACATTTTGAGGTAGAAGTTTCTGGATCTAATGGCTGAATTTCTTACTTGATGGCTTGTAATTAGAGCAGGAAAGGGAGAAGTTATGTGGTACAGAACAGGCTCTAGACAGAAGATGCAGAGGGTCTGAGGAGTTATCAATTTTTTGTTTTCCAGCATACCATGAAGAAAGTAATTAGCATGAACCTATATAATGCATTGCATGTGGTGCAAATGAGGTAATATGTCAGTTGACCAATATGTGGATTATTTTCTGGGCCTCAACCCTTATTTCTTGAGCTGACACTTATTCTTAAGTTATTCTGGATAAATTAATGGCATGATTCCCATTAAGACAAGGTACAGTGCTGAGAGATACCTTGCTGCTCACCAGGCCTGCCCCCCACCGGAAGCTGGCAGGACCTAAAGGATCATATGAGGGAAGCTGGAGATGTGTGCTTCGCTGACGTGCAGCGGGATGGGGAAGGAGTAGTGGAATTCCTGCGAAGGGAGGACATGGAGTACGCTCTGCGGCGCCTCGACCGTACGGAATTCCGTTCACACCAGGTAACTTTGACTACTAGCAGAGTGGTTTTTAAACTTGACCACAAAATCGGGAATTTTCTTTAAAATGACTCCTCCCATGACCATGACCAAAAGCTTTGTTGCTGAATTAAATGTAGCGGGAATTGAACACATTAAAGGTGGAAAATTTTGCAGGGGGATTTGTATATTTATTCTGTGGGCAAATTGTGTACCATCTGCAATTGGCACCATAATGCCACCAAGGGGTCAAAGCCCATCCCTTTATATAAATGTTTAAGCTGTCGTCTTCTTTTTATAAATTAATCTCTTAAATACAATCTAATGTGAAATAGGATTAATGTGGGAAAACCTCGATCACAGATGTATGGTGTGTTATTGTCACAAACGAGGCAGGATGTTAGATTGACCCTGTTTTAAATGTCTAGTCTGGAGGGCTTGGAGTAGAGCTGCCTGGTCTCTCTGCTGGTAGTGGTGAATGCCTGAGGATATTTTGCTGCATTACAGGGAGAGACTGCCTTTATCAGAGTCCTCGAGGAGAGGGGGTCCAGCTGGGGCCGTTCAAGGTCCCGGTCCAGGTCACGGGGGCGGTACTCTCCACCTTACCACGGCCGGGGCTCACCACCCCCGCGCTATCAGTCTCCACCTCCTCACCGACATGCAGTGTCACACCACAGTCCTCCGCCCCGCCGGCTCCCGCCACCGCCCCACAGCCCGCCTCCCCGCCATTATCGGTAAACCTGCCAAAGGACGACGACTAGCGGCTTTTGTGATGATTTTCTCCACCGCCCCCTCCCCTGTGTGTGTATGTGTACGAGTGTGCTGGTGTCCCCCTTTTCATTTTAATACCCATTTGGTTTGAAAACATTCCATTATCTGGACTGCTTTCTGAGGCTTCCATCGGCGTAGGGGGGTGCTGATGTCTCTGTGACGAAGGGGGTTTCTGTATGTCTCTAAGAGCCACGTTGCAAGCCTTTGCAGAAGTGTGTGAACTTGCTGGATTCATTTGGACAGTTGTATGGTCGCAGCACATGAGTCAAAGCAAGAATTCTCTCTGAAGATCAACCATGTATTAAAGCTGACTGCCCATTTTCATCACCTTGTTAAATCCAGGCTATCCTGTAGCATGTGCCACATTGTAAATGTTTTTTTTAATAACCCACTGAAGGCTGCCGTCTTCTGGATGACCACAGCTCAAAATTGATTATGTATTGAACTCCCCCATTTTTTAATTAACATGAAACGTTTTAATTAGTTGTCATTTTCCCCATCTGCCAGTATCCTTTGTATCTGGTTATAGCTGTTTATAAAGTTTTTGTTTTTTCAATTAAAAGATGGAATTAAAGGTTTTCAATTTTGATGTTTAGAAATGCTGGAAAGTCAAGCAAAGCATACATCATCTTCAGTCAGACTTGTGGCATTTTTAAAATTGTCAAATGGAGTGAAACATTAGTATTCTTTGCAGATCTGAGAACAGGTAATTGGGGGGGGGGGGGAAGAAGGGGCATTTTAACGATTCGATTTTGGGGGAATTACATCTGCAAATAAACCTATTCAAAAGTATTCCTGCAACTACGACAGGTGCCTGTTTGCACTCATGGACCTTTGGTAAGTATACAACAGCAGTGAATTGCTAGTGGTCCTGAGAACATCTAAAAGTATGGTGACTTTTGTACAGTTAAATCTGGCTGTTCAGTTGGTTGGTTGGTTTCCACAGTCACATCTCTGAGTATTTCAACAGTACCTCGCGTTCGTCTCGCTCTGGGAGAGGGATGTTTCCTGTCAGGGAGAAAGATGGACTGATGAGGTACAAGGTGGGGGCCACCAGCGTACAATCATTCATGGTAGCCGCAGGTGAAGAGCTGCCGCCCATATCAGCACAGACCCCTAAGCAAAGCGCACCCCCTCACCTGGGGGTGCCACGTAGTAGCCCTCCAGGGTGTTTCTGGCAAGTCCAAGTAGCTGCTCTGCACAGTCACCTTCCTCAATGCGGTCATCTCTCAGGTACAGCGTGCTGATGGACCGGAGATGGATTATCATTGATATTTATGGACATTGGGACATATTCCATTTGATGCCTGGTCATAAACCACGTAAGACAAACTGCATTTGCACAGCAACACACAAAAAACGGACAATGTCCAAGAATTAAGGGTTAAGACCTGACCAAATGGTACATATTGCTGCTTTGCCACCCACTCTGTGCTTAAAAAGACAAGAAAAAGGATAATATGAAAAGGCAAATTAAAAAAGCAATAATATAAAAGTTCCACTACACAGTCTCTCTGGTTTCTTTAGTTATAGCAATATATAAATACACCTTACCCTTAACACCTCTCAAACAATTTGTTTTGATTTCTATAACCTACACCATTCGTCCGAAATTCATTACAATGTTGTATCGTTTCTTGTAAGCACACATCAGTCTTGGTCATTCAGTAGGAGTTCAGTGCTGTCATTTTCCAGTTGGCTCAATCTCAAGAACATATCTCTGTTAGCATCAATTTTCTTCTAACCCTCCCTATATCCTATACATAAGGGGGGGAATTCTCCCTCAATGTGAGAAATGACTTCAACTTTACTGTTAAAAAGTGACAGTGACTGTGCACCAGCAGTGGGTTGCTCAGCTATGTTAGAATTGCATATGCATAATATGCAATGTTGGTATTAATATCACACATCGCCCAGCCCTGTAATATATCATAGCCGTTTTTCAAATTCAGTACAAAATATCCTGTACTAGTGTTTACGCCAGTGGAAAAGCAACACCGTGAAGTACCAAAGGCAGTGCAAAAGAGCCCCAAAAGCTTGATATATCAAGCCAGCAACCTAGTTTTATCATAAATCAGCAGGAAAAGTAACACGTTATAACAATATCTGATAATGTTATATTATTGCATTTTAAAAACAAAAAAGGTCCATTAGGTTGTTTACATCTGTGCTACTTTTACCACTTTTAAACTTTTTTTTTTTTTTACCATGAACCTTACACCTAATGATACAAGTATAAAATTTACATTACAATTTAGTGTTATGTTGAAACTATTTTCGTGGTGTAAAACTTGGCAGTTTACATCCACTGTAGATCAAAGTTCTGCTTAGCTGGTCCAAGCTACCGGGAACACCACATACCCCTTTCCAGCAACCCCCCCCACCCCCCCCCCCCCCCCACTTGCTCTCCCAATCCGTCTGCTGACTTCACAGGAAGAGTCACCAGAGACATGAATGTCACTGCCAAAGTAAGTAGACCTCTCAATGTGGTCGACATTCTCTTTGCAGACAGACACACTGTCGACATGTGTGCCCAAGAAATTAACAAAGGCCTGGATTTTGGTTCTGATCCAGGACACTCTGATGCCTCAGTCTCTTGAGAGCCCAGATCAGAGTCTCCATTGACTCCATGATGATGAAAGCATCGTCAGCAAAGTCAGAATCAGTAAATCTTTCCTCACTAACAGATGACACACAGCTGCTGGATCCCACAACCCTGCCCAACACTCAGTTCATGCAACACATCCCTGACAAACCCCAGAACCAACTGGGAAGAATGCGAAGGGTCTCCCTCCACTCTGCACAGCACTCACAGTACCAGCGTACAGGACGGCCATGATGTCCAGCAACTTTGGCGTAATTCCACAAAGTCTCAGGATGTCCCATAGGGCAGCTTGATCAGCTTAGTCAAATTCTTTATGAAAAATAATCGACCAGCCATGTCACCCATGATCAGAGAAGTTTCACTTCGTGGGCACCCATCAACCACCGGACAAAGTTCTGAATGTCTCTCTTACAGACATCACTCACTGCAATCGGAGCATACATTGAGCCAACAGACAAGACACCCAGAGAGTGCCTTACTCTGAGCCTCATAATACGCTCGTTGAAAGGAGTGAATCAGACATCATCGGAAGGAGCCAATCCGCCACAGCAACAACTACTACCCGAGTAAAGTGCTCAGACCAATAATAGGTGTACCCATCTACAAAGATCTGGCCACTCTCTCGTCTGCGTACCTCAGAGAGTGCTGACACTGAAATGTGGAGTTTACAAAGCTTCTCTGACAGCAGAGGAAGATGGTCATCATGCCACAGAGACAAGACATTATGGACACCTACCCAGTTGAGCCATCTCAGATTAGGACCTAAGTGCTGCCGTGCATTGGGCGACACCTCAGCACCATGCCAGTTCTGATCCCCAATAGTCCTGACCCCACAGGCTCTCTGGCGATTTCGACTCCTCTGGGAATGAGGCCCCAAAAGGGTTTCCTTCACCCCCTTCATCATGTGTGCAGCCCTCCTGGACAGCATAAAAGGGTCCTGTTCGCTGTCTCGGAGCTGTGTGAAGTTTTCACGGTGGCTGGAGTGCCAACCCCCAAATTTTTTCCCTGCAAGTTAGAGGACCAACTTGCAGGGCCAGATGCCGTTTAACTTCATACCCAGGACACAAAAAAAATCAGCAAAAAATATACTACACGAAAAAAAAAAAAAAAAACATTGAGCTGAAACACACTGCCACCCTGACCAGGAGAAGTGATTTGGATGAAAGATGAATGGATGAAGCTGAAACAGTGCGGTTTGCATCAGGAAATAAAAGATGTTAAATGACAGTGTGGCCCTGTCCACGATTTGACGCTGTACCCTTACCGGTCCTCAAGAACCGAGGCCATCGGCTCGACCCCATCCGTGTTCACGACGTGAAGTTGGTCGGCAAAGCGAATGGCTTTCTCTAAACAATCCACGCCGTCCTGGTTACGGAAGTCCAGTAATGCCAGTCGCTCCAGTTTGTCGACCAAGTCCGGAGGGACCTTCGTAGGCTAAAAATGAGATAAGGAGATAAAGGAATCGTACCCTTCTGTGGTAGGTGTTTAAAGTGACATCCACACTCACCAAAGTCTGACGTATGTATTAAGAATGTGAACTTCAAAACAAAAGAGCTAACGGACTGACTTGCTTTGACAACGTTAACCACGTTCTCTCAACCCAAACTAAAGAACACTGCTAGTAAAACTTTAAAGTTCATACCAGGGGAAGCTGATCCTCCCTCACACATTCCCAAGTTGGTGTCTGTGGTACCTGAGGAACCAAAAGGTGTATAAGCTACATAATTACTTACAAAAGCAATTGCAATCTAATATATGTATAAATTTATATCAAAATTTTATGTTTTCAAACATCACAATTGTTCGCTTTTGTTCCACATATGGAGTGGGGGAAATAAGCAGGGCTAGCTAGTTAAAAATGATCACGATGGCAACGTGGCTAGTTAAGTCTCATGTAAGAACACCGTTGGATGTAATGTAAATATACACTAAAGGCTGCAGTGCCTGATCGTGTGATCGATTTGAGAAGTAAGCGGACATAAATCCGTAAAGGTTTCCCAGTCCATCGACTTTTTACATACCTTTGGATTGTGATGATGTGGGGTCTGACTTTGAGATAATGATGATGTATGTTTCTTGCGGTGTCGGGTAATGTTTTGTCCGCCTCTATTTTCTACTACGTGAGGTCCAACATAAACCCCACAGCGATGCCGTACAGGCCTTAGGTATAAAGCAACACACTGTAAACTCGAAGTAATCCTGCCTAATGTACAGTACATTATTTTTCTTATTTAAAAGTATAATTGTCTCCGCAGAATATATTTCAGAACCCCATTTAACGAATTAAATAAATAATTCTAAATAGTGTCCAACAATCAGCCCAGTGATCCGTACTGCCGTAATCCGCTTTGCACCAAAAGCCGCAAAATATGTATGCCTGGCGTAATAATGCCGCAAAAAAAGAGCGGGTCTTCATTATTATTTATCCTATAAAAAAACAGGAAATGAAAATGTATACTTTTTCTGTCGAATGATCACCAATATGATTCTATTTCACGAAAGAAAATAAAACAACTATCTAGTACTTATAATCAGAAAAAAATATATATAGTAATCTACCAAAGACATGGAGTACAGTAGTTTTGCAAGAGCCCGGATAGCTCAGTCGGTAGAGCATCAGACTTTTAATCTGAGGGTCCAGGGTTCAAGTCCCTGTTCGGGCGGTAAACTTTTCCTCATTCAATTGTACTTATTTATTCAATATTCTTTCTACTACTCAAAAACAATAATCTTTATTACTCGGTGTAACGACAACTGTCAGTCTAAATTTTAGTTTTACTCTTTCGTGTTTATTGTAGGGTTAGCGGAACCAAGCTGTAGCGTTGAACTTGTTCCAATGTTCTGTATTATTGAGTTACTCCCGAAAGAAGCGCATTTTCCCCATTGTTTGGTGACTAATCGATCTTTTCGTCTTGTGAAGATAAGAGTGTTATTAGATGAAGGTTAAATTCTTTAGGTAAGTAGCCAATGGGGTAAGTTAATGTTATTTACTTTATTGTGGTTCTGTTTAACTTATAGGCTACTGTATTTAACTTTGGTTAAATGCTGATTATGAGATTCGCGAACAGGTCATTCCACGCCAATTTGCAGGTCATATTATGGATTTCCATGAAAAAACTATAAAATTCATCTCTTTTTGTAATAAAGATGTGCAAAATCTTAATACTGTGGACCCAATAGTTTTTCTGTGAAAAATGCTTTGAGTTAAAAATGAGTCATTTTTACTTTTCTGAACTCGTGTTTAAGCTCATTAATGCTATTTGCATTAATTGTAATAAATGTAATAATCAATCATTACGCTGTGGAGACAGATTTCTATTATAGCCTATAATATAGCCCAAAAATATAGCCACAGTAACACTTCAGTGTCTTCATGAATTTATTTTAAGTTTTTGATAGACAAGGTATTTGTATTTCTTTCCTGTCGTTAGTAAAATAGGCTAGATTTTAATAGAACATAACATATGCACCCATTTTCTATTCATCTAATTCATCAGAGTATCATAATGTATTAAGTATGAAATTTAAATGCACTCACCCATCCTCACCAGTGGGTCTCATCCAGTATATTCAATTTAATCTTTCTTTGAATTTGTTGAAAGATCATAAAATGCTTTTTACACTCATATTTTTGTAGAAAATACAACTTTAGCTCTTTGTGCAGCTGATGACAAAAATCCCATCTTTGTAAAAAGAAACTTACAGCTTCCTCAAGTTTTAAGTTTAATTTGTCATATACACAATCATACACTGTACAACTGTGTATTAAAGTAAGGTATACTTTAAGATGCCTTTCTACCTGTTTCTTGCATGACAATTTATGCAATACAAAGAGAACAATCAAAACAGTTTAACAAACAACTTGGTTGAAGCAAGTGGGATGGCTCCTCCTATAATAATCAATAAAAAACGAAAAAAATACATAAAGGAAATTCTTCCATACAATTAAATTAATCCATAACCCATGTTTTTCATCTGAACTTGTAAATCCTTGTATTAGACTTTCACTTGCCCCGTGAAGAGTGATTACAACACATCAGTCAGGTCATGTTAATTCTCATTCTGACGCCTCCTTAAAGAAAAGTATATGAAGATGAGATTGAAGTGTAACATTAATATTCAACGTTCATTATCCACATCAGCACTCCGGTTTCTCCTTGTTCGGTCCCATGAATTCCACATCAATTGGAATATCTTTATCCCTGATGGCCTTCTGCGAATATACAATTAACACGAAAGATTTTGATTATTGTTGTGTGGACTAAAACGATACATTGCTTACATTTATTTTCCAAAGACACATGAAAAATACTATGACGAAGAACAGTATCCCTAAAATAATCCCGGAAAATGTTAAAAGCACCAGTACACGAATACTAAAATTAACCGCTAATTTAATAACTATTGGACTAGTCTTATAGATGAACGCATTCCTGTGGCTTGTACTACGAATCGGGGTTACTGGCTTATCGAGCTAACTTGTCGAATTTAAGGTACCACAGTTTAAATGGACTTCATATTCGTTCACTTACACTTTGCCCAGACTACCTAAATCCGACAAGTTACCCCGATAAGCCAGTAACCCCGATTCGTAGTACAGGCCCCTGATATCACAACAGTCCAAAAGTAGAGATCAATGAGAAACATAATGATAATTATTATCATCATCATTATTATCTATTAATGTCACTGTTGCAGACATCCCATCTTAGGCATATTGATTTTAGGGAGGAATACGAGGGACAACTGGGGAGGGTTGGGGGCTTTTGTTCGTCCCTCGCCCTGGAAATACCGGATTTGTTTTAAAATACCGTATAGCGCGGTTTCAATGTCTGGATAGTATGACGGTACTAAAAATGCGATAATGCCCAAGCCTAGCTGGTTGTGGAAGCGGGGACGCCGGGGAGGGGGTACTGGACGTAAGATTTGGCGACCGGCTGGGGCGGGTTTACGGCGGAAAAACTTCCTGCTGGCTAATTATACTGCCGCGGTGCGGAAGGACAGCTTTACGGGCCATTGCGCTTTATTTGCAGGTGTCAGGGATCCGCCGGACTCCCCGAGCTTCCGAGAGCGGTGGGATGTCTGCTGTCGTTTCTGGTCATTTCCAATCGATGGCATTTACTTACATGGACACAGAGCTGGTATTTCTTAAACATCTCCGTACAAGGGTCGCCGTCCCGCTCTCCTTTCAGAAACTTCTCTGCGAACCAGCGGTTGAAGCACTGGTCGTACTCACGCTTGAGCTCCGTGCAGCCTTCCCCTACGCTGTTCATCCTCCCGATAAGTCGCTAGCCAAGTACAGCTAACATAAACTGTCACTTTATAAAATCTATCTATGTAGCACAAGTAGGTACCCCCTAAAAATGGTGGGGGGAAAAAGACGGAAGTAATGATTGATAATGTTTCTCCACACAATCGTGACCTTAAAAAGCCAAAAAAACAAATTGCAAGTGAACGGGAAGTTAAATTCGCAGAGCGTTGTTTACAGGGGGACAGTTTTTCATGAAACACGTGGTTGAGGGGCTGGACCTATGGGCTGGACTCTGGAGCTGAACCGGAAGGTGCGTGATTTCCGGTCGTTTGAACTGGGAGAATCAGTGCCAGTGGCTGCCACTCATCGTAAGTTCTATATAGTACAGGCCACAGGTACAGGCCCTGTACCTGTGGCCTGTACTACGAACTTACGAAGCGGGGTTACTGACTTATCGGGGTAACTTGTTGGATTTAAGGTACCACAGTTTAAATCATATTCGTTCACTTACGTTTTGCCCAGACTACCTTAAATTCGACAAGTTACCCCGATAAGTCAGTAACCCCGCTTCGTAGTACAGGCCCCAGATTCTTAAATTATTATTATTATTATTAATAATAATTAATAATAACAACAATAATAATTTATTATCATTGTTTTGTTGTTATAGTGCAATTTTTGGTATAACAGATTTATTGATGCAAACAACTGGTAAACATTACATTTGCTATAATGCTGCAAAACTTAGTTTTCGCATGAAAAAAACATAATCACGAATTTTTAAATATCGTACAACTTTAACATGAGGCCGATTGTGTAAATAATCTTAATTAAGAGTCTGGCGATAACCAAAGCAGGAGTACAAGACCACGAATAACTTCATTGCTCTAGGATTCACTATTATACAGGAATCCTGGAATAAAGTCAGAGTAGCTAGGATTAAGTGATCTCTTCACCTTCTGTGTGACACTTCATGGCTTAAGTACTTAAATGAAAGGGATGCTCCTTAGCAACCAGTATCAGAAAAGTGAATATGGAAAAACAAAAAGTGGAAAAATATGCAGCAGAAAGGAATCAAAACTAGTAGTTTCCATGCATCCGTACAATTTCTTACATTTTTCTTTTAAAACAAATGCCTAGCTTAACTGTGTAAATGTGACTAGTAAGCATTTACTCATTAAAAATCAAATTTCATTACAGTAATAAAATGTTATTTTCCTCATGAGCCATTATAATGATCTAGTATAAATGTTTTGGTTACCTATTATTTCCTTTGTGACAACAGGGGGCAGTGCTGTCCTGGGCAGTACCGGGAGGAGACAGGAAAAGCCTATTTCCTTGCTCCTTTTCCTCTGAGCTTCCCCACACATTGTTAGGAGGATGACTGCAGTAATTTTGCTGTAAACAGGCTTTTGCTGAAGGGGCAGCAAAAACCAAACAGTCCAATAAAACCAATGCGGACAACTTAACTCTTAAGATGGCTTGAAGATAATCTTATGGTATAGTTACTGTATGTTAAACTGGATAAATGCAAATTCTGATTACATATGAGGTAATGAGGAGAGATACTGATGCAGTCTGTATCTCTGGGCATATCCTCCAGAGTACACAGCTAAATTCATATGCTGTTATTAATTCATAGCATGTCCTGAATCTGCGGGTTTCATTCCAGTACGCGCCCCAATCCAATTAGTGGCTAATAAGCCATACCATTAATGCTGTGCCATTAATACCAGCACATACCCTCATCTGAAAGAGGAGCTTCCTGTAAAACAGAGAAACTGGGGTAGGTATTTGTCCTTTTTTGAATGCTATTTATTAGGGAGTAATTTTATGAAAACTGGAAATTCACAAATAAAACTTCACGCAAGTTCACGGGGGACAAAATAATGGCCTATCTGAATAGAAATGTAATAAATATGTCATAACAAGTGAAATATATTGAAATGATGGAGGCATTGAGTTTTATAATTATGAGAGTTTGTCATGCATATGGTGTTCAAAGAGTGTCTCCCATGACGCAGTGGGAGAGACACAGAATACACCTGGTAGATACACACCCCCAGCTATGTAATATTTGTATCTATGCCTAAATATATGTGGTGATTTTATAGTGAGTACAGATTTTCACAATCATGGGTACAGGGAATTAGTGCATTTTATCTGTGGATTGGTGTGCCGTCTGTGTCTAGAGTGAATGCAGTGATAACTAGTATAATTTCACATTTTATATTAATATTGAATTTACCAGTGAAAATCCAGTAGATAAGTTTTTATGTGCTGAAATTCACAGATGGTTAAACTGCTTTTTAAAGATGCATTGTCAAGCTTCTCCAAGGATCCTACAAAATTTCCCAAACCACTCATACCACCTAATTTCTTGTTTCTGATGTTCAGACAGATGCCTCAGCAGTACACTGTGGTCCTTTCCACCCTATTGTTACTCTCTGTTACTCATTTTCACTCATCTGAAAAATAATTATTATTATTATAACTAATGTTTTTAAAGCTATTTGGAAAGAGATAAATATTTCAGTCTACTGAAACAGTAATTGGAAAAATAAGAAGAATTCCATTTTATTGGGTTTTTTATAAATACATAGACCATCTAATATTTAGAATTTGTTTGCATTATACTGTTTATGACCAACCACAAAATAACAAATATATTAGCTTAGAAAAAAAGCAAATTCAAGTAAATAAATCAATAAAATATATAAATTTTTCTTGTTATTTTGCTGTAACATACAGTGATTTGCAGTCACAAAGAGTTACCATTAAATGCATTACAAGAAACATCCGCAACATAAAAACACAGATGAATTCAGGAAGTTGAAGAATAGGAATGGAAGTCCAGTTCTATAATGTGAGAAATGTAGGGAAATGTAAGTTGTCCCCTGTACCATTAGTTAAGAGTTAGTTTTGCAGCATAATCATTGTGTGGTAAAGGGGGCAGGCGGTCTATAGTTTGCTTTATGAATAAGAATGACACTTCCCCAAGGCAGCAATAGCAGTCTGCATTCAATTCTGGCAAATACATCTTTGTAAACAGTGCACAGGCATATTCTAGCATACATTCTTATAGCACAAGTGAATGTACATTAAGTCACTAGGTGGCATAATTAATGTGAAACAATTGTAAGACTTTAAAAAAGGTCACTTTCAGAGCAGGGTGAAAGAGACCTTCGTGTGACATATTCAAGTTAAGTTACAGCTTGTCTCTAAAACACAGTGCTGAACAAAGTTCTTTTCTACAAAAGGGCTGCAGGTGTCATATTGGTTAAAGATGTAAATCTGTTACCTTAATGCAGGAACCACACATACATTTCTACAGTAACACATGCAGATGTATGAAGTTGCTTTGAATTTAAAAATGTGTCACCTGAGGAACTAAATGTATAAAAACTACCTGCAAATGCCTTATATCTATCTTAGGAATAGGAAACAGTTTAGGAAATAGTTTACTTGTATTGGTATTCCAGGTTTTTCATTTTTACTTTGATAATACTCAGTGTTATGTCAAACACTTGTTGTTATTTATGTTAAAATGGACTCCATTCCTATCGATCAACATAAGTCCTGAAACACAGGAATGGTACTGAGGGAGATTCATGAAAATAAAATACATTTTACAAGGCATGGGGGTACTTTAAATATTGACTGACAATAGAAAACGTTGAATAAGCATCACAAGATTTACATAATATACAGTGATTCACTGAAGAATAATGAAAAAATAAATAAGAGCACTGTATTATATCTTTGTATTTTGTATTCATTTTTGTCCAGAAAACCATAATTCACATATACATCATATACGTTTCTCTCTCTATATATATTACATATATCATAATATAGTTTTTTTTTCTTAATACACAGACACTTTTTAATTACATTTGTTAATTTCCCCTTGTTACAGTACAATACACAGACAGCAATATATAGATTTATCTTGGAACAGACACCAATGCCATAGGAGGGGAAAATAAAAATGTAATATAATACATTGGCATTAACACATTGCTGACAGCCTTTCAACAGTGTTCATGTTTCTTCCCAGAATGCAATGGACCATCTTGCTTCCAGTCACACAGGTTCGCAGATATGCAGGCAGGCTCACCAAAATAAAACCATCATACAAAGACGATACTACACCGATGCTAGTTTTGAGGGAAGGTAATTATACCTTATAACAAAAGCCTCAATGGTGTGTGAACAATAATAGAATGCATTGTATAATTGTACAATTATTCAAATAAATAACTGACTTTACTAAAATTAGCTCATTTACATTTTTGCATGATTTTAGGAAACCTTTGTACTGTCACTTGAAATTTCTACTGGATCAATTCAAAATTCCTCATCCAGACATATTTCCATGAAAAAAAGTTTTATGCCATTTTTCAGTCAGAAGCACTGTATAATAAATGTGGATTTTGAAATTAGCCTTTTTTTTATCTGACATACAGAAAGCATTCTGACATTTTAATGATTAAAGATATTTGTGTATCTGTTAGTCATAAGGCCAAAAGTCAGTCCTAACTTTGAAGGCCATACTGGAAAGCAAGCTGGAACTGAACCATGTTAAAATGTGAGAACATCGATAGTCAGGACCGTACAGATTAAGGCAAATAAATTTCAAACATTATTTCAAGGATATCTCATCACAAAGGTAATGGATAGTTTTCTGGTGATATCGTGTGTTTATGTAATGGGCATGACTTTCGGAAAGTTTGATGACACTGAGAAACTACTAATTTCTGTTGTGAAACATGCCAGATAGAGAACTTTGTATAAATGCACTTTGAGTGCCGTCTAAATGGCCTTTTCTCCTTTTGAACTAATGACTTCACAACATGTTCTTACCCCAACTGAATTGACTTCTATGTTGCCCTCCTGCTGACTAACAAACTGAGCCATTACAATTGCACCAATATGAAGCGCCTCGACAATCGAATACAGAAATGCTTCAGAAATATTGTGGCTGAGATCTGTAATGTTTTCTCGTGCTTAATTTGCAAACTCAGCTGGAAAGACTCTCTCCAACCGCTCTCTAAGAGAACAGTCCAGAAGCCGAGCTTAAGTTCCAGGAGGAGATGGCTCAGCCTGACCATAACACTGAAGTAGTATTTGATGGTCAGAACCGAATGCACCATGTTGAAATCAGTTCTATAGTGACTTTTGACCTGAAAACCTGATCTTTCTTATGAAGACACCGTCAGTCAAATTGCTTCTACTTACTAAGGTTCTACAGAGGTGACATCAGACTATCCTTCCGGGCCATGTGCCTCTTTTAGGACAGAATACACATTGAGTTTTCATACCTGAACTGTTACCTGTTACAGTAGGCTATATTACACACATACTGGCAGATGCAGGAGAATGCTGAATGGCAAAAGGCAATGATACACAGTTTTGCACGGTGACAGACTCCAGGTCAGACGTGGCTGAGACAAGCAGCAAACTGGGAAGCCTGTTCACGGGAACTGGCAGAAAGTGGGGCCATGTGGGGTCACTTGTTTTCAATGAGCGTCTGCACCTTGCACACCAGGTCGCGAGCCAGATTCAGTATGTGCTGGATGTTGTGGTGCTCCGCCATCTCTGTAAGAATAAGGCATATGACCAGTAATAACACATTCATTGCTTCATTCTAACAATGACAACAGTGTAATCTTCTCAGACTGTTCTTCTCGCACTCAGAGTGCTACATTCTACCATTTCTGAGTAACAACAGACCTTCAACTGCAGCATCATGGGGCGATATGGCAGCCATTTTGTGCCAGTGAAATAAGCGCACATCAGTTTCCTGGTTCTCTTTGAGCCATATCTTTTTCAGCAGCTGTCTGACTGCGGCTCTGAGGTGAAACCACAGAAGTTGCTCACCATTGAAGAACTTAATGATGTCCGTGAAGTCCATGTTGTTCTCCAGTATGATGTCCCTGTAGAGCTCCACCAGAGCGAGGGCAATGAACAAGACAAAGTGACTTGAGGAGGTGTACTTAGCGGCCCAGATGGTCTCCCACACGGCGAACACGTCGTCGTACACCAGCTCTGGAGGGGTGTGGAGAGCAAAGGGGTTGGAGGTCAGTGGTAAGAGCTGGCAAGTCCCACACTCACTTTCACTTCATCTCACAAGGAGAAATGCAAATGTTCAAAGAACAGAAAATTATGCAAAGATGGAGAAGTGGAGTAGCAGCAACCTCCTCAACAGCCAGATAAAATCATGCTTTCATGGAACAGAATTTTTTTTATACTGATTTTTGTAGCTGTTTGATGTATTAAATTAAAAGACTACCTTCAAAGAACAGGCACTTGCATTCGAGCACTGCTCTCAGCGGATCCTCGCAGAAGGTTATTACCTCGTTTAAAGTCCAACAGAAACCATCGGTAGCAGAAGTAAAAGTGGGTGTAGTCTCCATTTTGGTGCATCAGCTCAAACAACTCGGAATCCAGGATCTAGAGGAGGGAGAAGTGGAGAGAGAGAGAGAGAGAGAGAAGGTAATGGAGAAGCTTCTATCCAAAATGAAACACATTTACGCACACACACACACACATACGCACACACACCAACTTTTACTTTTGTCCAGTAATTTTCTTCACCATCTGCTCTACAGCTTCTGGGGAAAAATTATAGCAACGCTACCTGAATTAAACATTTTTATGTTTCATGGCAATATGGTTAAAACTATCACTCCTGAGTTCCTGCAGTCTTAGTGTGTTCTAGTTGCATTCTAATTCAATAACAGAAGAGGTATAAATCAGCATAATGTTGGTGAAGAGCCCACAATAACAACTGAGTTTACACAGTGCGTCGTTTGCCCCAAGTTCAAAATACCCTTAAGTTTCATCCTCAGAAACTCTCTGTTGATCCCTTGAGGAGTCACTGCTTCCAGATTAGGGTCGTTTTACCTGGATGAGAGACCGCATGTTAGCAAAGTGGGTGTCCATGGCACCCCCATGAGGGAAGTTCTGGTTCATCCTCTTCATGAGCTCTGTGAAGCAGCTGAAAGCCATAGCCTCTATGTCAAGTCAGGGAGAGACAGAGAGGGTGAGTCAGTCAGCCTTCTTGGTTATAGGGATAGTTCTTTCAACTCCTGGAAAAAACACAGACTCACCGTCATCCAGGATGACGAGGAGGGGTGCCAGCAAGTCACACATACCCTGGACATAACCGATCTCCAGGTGCTGCCAAACGTAGCTGTGAAGATAAGGACATGCTGAAGTTACATTAACAATTACCAAAAAACTCCTGAGAAGGCATTAATAAGGGCTTTCTCTGTGTGTGGATGCACATTGACAACTCTGATGGGCACCTGCACATGATGTTACGGAGCTTCTCCAGGTTGGCGGGAGTGAAGTACCAGAAGTTCCTGTCGCAACGCTGGACGTCCTTCTCGATTCGGTGAAGGTTGATGGTGTACATGTCTAGCAGTTCTTGCTATAACAATCAACAATAATAAGACATGGGAATTAAATACCATGTTAGTCATGAGTGATTGAAGCAGCTCTCTTATCATGCCTTTAGCTAATGCTCAGCATCCAATGTGCTAATCTCACATGATCCAGACGGCAGCAGGGTCTTACGGAGTAGGTGGTTCCGATGGAGGAGACGGGTGATGCAGCTTCATTTTTCACTTCCCCACCGACGGCCAGGGAATCAAACTGGGGGAAGAGGCTTTCCATCTCGGGCTCGGACAGGGCCGACCCGCTCCCCTCTGGGCTGGCCTTCCCCACTTCATCTTCCAGCCGCAGTTCCAGTACCGGCAACCCTGTCGGACCCAATTCCGCATCCTCCAATTCTGGGCTCGCTCCCACACTGTCTGCTAGGGCTGACAGCGAGTCTCCGGTGCTCTCGGAGGGGGCCTTCCTGTCCCATGGGCTCATGGACACTTTGGCAACCAGAGGTATCTCCTCCATTTCGATCGCAGAAGGAGACTCATCAGAGTCTGTAGTGAGCAGGACCTCCTCAGTCCTTACAGAACTTGGAATTTCAGTAGCTGTCAGCAATTTGGACCCAGTTTCAAACACCTTAGGCATGTTAATATCCATGAACTTCATTCCATTTTCCTTTTTCTCCTGAACCTTGATCTCTTCGGATTCTGTGGGTTTCCCCTCTTTCATTTCTTTACCTTTGGCTTCTTCTTTAGCATTTTGGGGGCCGTCAGTTGCTGCTGAACCTTGGGCTACTGCTTCTCGCCCGTCAGGCTCCTTCAGTTCTCGACCCTCAGCCCCCCATGCTTCGGGACACTTGGACACCAGCTTTGTTTCAGGAGTTTCTGCCTTGACAGTTTCTGGAGCAGTGACGGCTTGTGTTGCTGGAATCCCTGCTTCCTTGGTCTCTAGACTCACATCGCCCCCTGTCTGTTGAGTCTTGCACGCCGTCATCTCCGCAACGCTGACGACCTCTTTATCTACAGCCACGGCTTCCTGTCTTTCAATGCCTTTGGCTCCTTCCTTGGCAGCTGATCCCTTTTCTGGAAGGACCTGAAGCTTGGTGTCTATGCTGGCAGCAGGAATGGGCTCAGCTTGCTGCTCTGTCTTGACTGGGCTTGGCTGAGGAAGTTGTGGCTGGAAAGAGGTGCCTTTAGCTGCCGGCTCAGGCGCACTGCTGTCTTCAGTGCTCAGTGAGCGGTCCGAGAGGCCAGAAGTGATGGAGAAGTTGCGGGAGGAGGGGTGTCCCGAATCGGGGGAGCTAGTACCATTTGGCAGGGCACCGTTGGGGATCTTGGGAACCTGCTTGGTCTCGTCACCCTTGGGTTCCATCTCTATCTGATCTACTTCCTCCACTGACTCAAACACCTGCAGCAACAAACCGGGGAAAAACAGCGTGACCGAGGAGAGAATGGGGGAGGGGCAGAGAAGCCCAGGGTAGCTGGGAGGGCGGAATGCTCTCACTGATGATATTTCAGGAACAAGCTCATAAATGCAAAAATGAGAAATATTGAACATACGTATACCGTAACATTCAAGCAAAAATGCACAATACTGAGTTTAAGGTAGAAGGCACAGCAGCCCAGTAGAAGCCCAGTAGTAGGTGCCATGGCTCACAGTTTCAGGGATTGGAATTTGATTCTTGGGCTCTCCCAAAAACATGCAGTTAGCTGAACCGGCATTTCTAAATTTCCCATAATGTGTGTGAGTGTGTGTTCATCCGCCCTATTCCCCCTGCTTCCTGGGACAGTGTCCAGGCTCACTGTGACCCTATCCTGGTTTAGCGGTTCTGGAAAATGGCTGGGTTAAGTATAGGCACACTGTAGACCTATAGTTTCACCTTGTAACCCTAAAATCATCCATTTCTGCAGGCATACGTTCAATGAAATAAGCCAGAAGACAGACTCCAGGCAGCCACTGGTGAGGGGCACATTTAATCGGGTTTCACATGACACAAGTGGCACAGAGAATCAGGACAGAGACTCTTATAGACTGCAAGCTGAAGGTTATTTGGATGACAGGACTGTTAATTACCGTTTCCATTCCCGTGTGTACAATCTTAAAACATTTTTAGTGTAATTCAAATTAAGTTTATAATTAAGGAATATAAACATTACTTAAATGACAGATTGAAATTACAGACGGAAAAAGTTTTGAAATTTTGATAGTTATACATGCCATTACCTAAAATACAGCTTAATAAATGTAGAGGTTAAAACATTATTTTTAAATAATTACATGAATGGAGCAGCAGGTTGAGTAACTGGGCTTGAGATCAAGAATCCAATTATTGTCACCTCGTAAAAGGTACTGAAACGGTTATGTAAACAGATGGCAATAAGGAGACTAATCGAGTATGAGTGCACACTGCATTAAGTCATGCTGAGTTCAAAACAGATACAAATTATGCGATGACACCACAGAATGACACACATAAACAGAATGCAAACGTCGGAAAAGAGAACACATGCAGGTCTAAGGTCCCAAAATAAAGCAAAACAGACATGGCTAGGTACGCCTAATGAGCAAAGAGTTTCCAGAATAGATCAGTGACAGACTGAGACAGGTGAGCACTCCCCATTGGTCAGGCAAAGTCAGGTGATAAGGCCATTTATTAATTTCACCTGTGTTGTTTTAGCACCCATCTAAGATTGGGTTCTAGGTTTCTCAAAACTCCACAGAAGATACCACAACCCTGTGCCCTGTTTTAGCCTTTTCCACAAGCCTGTTTTACCTTCGGGTGTGCTTCCCCTATACCAAAGGCAGAACAGATGCCTTTCCATTTGGTTTTGTTAAACCCCATCTTCACTTCCATCCACAAATAAAGCCCCTAACCATCCCTGTGTCACGTGATGACTTTTGCCACGGGAGGAACAAATGGATGTGGAGTCGGTGAAGCTGCAAGCGATGCAGGTGGGCTTTGGAAACGCTTGGAGTCCGTGTTGGCTCAGCAGATAGCGAAATGTGCGGGAAGCGGAAATATACAGTGTATGCAGCACTTTGTGTCGCTGCGGCGATTAGTGCGGTGTGGACACAGCTGAATGCACGCTGCAGTGTGTATGCGCGTGTGTGCGCGTGTGTGCGTGTGTGTGCGCAGTACCTGTGTGCTGCTGCTGGAGTCACTCTGCAGTCGTGCATGGCTCTGTCTGCCTGAGCTGCAGCTCTGGGTGGACTGTAGTGCAGATAGGGGTGTGGGGGGGGGGGGGGGGGGGGGGGGGCAGCCAGTTGTGGGTAGGATGAGGTCACCGGGAACAGGACACACCCCAGGGTAGGGTCACGGGGGAGAGAAAACATAGTTTGAGTAAAACAGCAGCTATGGTTACGTCGGGGTGGGTGGGGGGGTGCTATGGCGGGATGCCCCACTTGGGTACCTCGTTGCTGACAGTGGAGTCGCGGTGCATCATGCGCTGCACGCCGCTGTCCACGCTGGCCCCAGACGAGCACTTGGCCAGGGCAGCCGCGTGCTGCTCCTTCTCCCGCTGCCGGACGATGGCCTCACAGCCCAGCCACTCGCTCATGGTCTGCTCATAACAGGCACGCACCTGGTCGTCCACCTGCCACACAGGGGCGAGAGAACGCCGCTCAGGGGAGCAGCCAAACACGCTCGTGTGGAATCATTCACATTCCCCTAATCATTTCAGGAACGTCTTATTTGGGTGACAAAACCACAGAATGCAGTATGCTACAAGCCAGTAGCAACTTCCCAGCAGAATTCCAGTTTAAGGTCCATTTTTTCCAGTGGAAGAGCATTCTATAAAATCTCCATTTGAAACCTGAAGCAGTTTATACACAGTTCTGCTTTAGCTGGACTGCCGGGGATCGTTCCCTGAAGAGCTTTTCCGTTCACAGGACATTCACCAAACACACCTCTTTCCTCTCGGCCTCTGACATCCCAAACTGGTAGTGTCCCAGCAGAAATGGCCAGACCTCTCTGCGCAGTGAGGGGTCTACCCCCCCAAAGTACACCAGCCTCAGCAGCTCCTGTTCTTCATAAGCCTGGCGAACAACCAGAAACCAAGGTTTTAAGACATGACACGTGACACGCACAGGAACACGCCTTATAACAGGTGCGGCATCAGCCGACATGTGCCGGGTGATGCAGGGGTGAAGAATGTAGCCCCAGTCCGAGGCCCAGCAGGATCTAGACTAATTTGTCCTGTTTTCGTCTGTAAAAAACTTTCACCTTAATCAGAATCTACTCTTAGCCCATAGCTACATTGTGTAGTTTCATCTGGACTATAACTAATCATAATTATTTCATACCAGTATATTGCTTATGAAATATTCTTCCATTCACATAATTTTGCCAAATATGCTAAATGTATTAAATCTAAGGCTGCAAATGGAAAAATAGATTATAATCAGAACAGCTATTTAACAGAACAAAATTCAGCAAAAACAAAAATACCCAGAGCGGAGAGATCATCACCAGCCGCGATAATTTACCGTGTCTGTTACTGGCAGCCTGTAAGCACCTTAGTCACGGCCGCATATGGCCGCGTGACTGAGAGTGTGAGGGCCGCAGTCAAACGAGTGCGATAAACAGCGCCGCCGGCTTGCATGAGGTTCTGGCATCCTGTGGGGGGCGGGGGGGGGGGGGGTCACTCACGGTGCAGTCTTTCAGGAAGCTGCGCCACACCTCCACAGAGAGACCCCCGCGGGCGTCGCAAGGCACGTCGGGATCCACGATGGTGTGGTTCACCAGGGCGGACAGGTGGGTCCGCACCGTGGAGAGGTGGCGGCAGTACGCCAGCCCTGCACGCCGGGATCGAGAGCGATTAGAGGCTCCTACTTAAGGCATTTCACATAAGGCATTTCACATAAGGCACTTCACTTAGACCACTGCCATAGTTAGGATCAGTGAGATTCCGCTACACATCATTAAATGCAGCCTTTCAACTCTAGCATTAGCATATGCATACAGGTATTTACTGCCAGACAAGAGAATCTCAATAAATTGTTAAGGCTGGTAGCAGGTAAACAGCTGCAAATATGAATATGTTCAGAAAGAGCTCCTTTACAGAAAATCAGACATGAATGGAATCCAAGGCAGCTTCTCTTGCTCGCTGGCTGCTCACTCACAGAATTAACTTCGGCTTGTGAATTTTAACATCTTCAGGGTTTTCAGATTTAAAAATTGAAATGGTCACTTCACCATCACTTTGGTACGAATCAATGCTGGTCATTGAAAAAAAAATGACCAGCTGGGTTCATAAGTCATCAAAAAAGAATCAAAGTTAATACTGGGTCAAAGTAAAAAATGGTAATCATATACCTTAGGATGCCTATTTACTAAATGCCATCACAATGGGCTTTAAGATGACGTTTGAGTAACTGCGTGGAGAGATGGATACATACAGCCATAGAAGGCCCGGGAGATGATCTGATACTTCATGTTGTCACAGAGCAGCTTCAGGGGGGCCCTGCAGAGGTGAACCCACAGACCACAGCTCTGATCAGAGGACCAATCTGGTATCCTATTGGTTATGGTCAAGGATCAGATGTCCCAGAGGGCCCAATCATAGCACCCTTCAGCAGTGCACTTGAATTTATCCAGTAATCTATCCCGTATTTCAATAGGCAGCATTGTAAGTCACAATAATAAAAATACACGGCTTAGTGTCTCTCAGTTAATCACATGCTTTGAATTTAGTTTATTCCAATTAAGCTGTTCATGGAATATCAAGCAAATCTTGCAAGTGAGGCTGAAGTTGTCCACATGATAATCACATGACCGGATCCTATCTGCATTACAGCGGGTGACATAGCGCTTCAGTAACTGTATAATGTGACCCTGTGTCACCAGATGGAGGTTCCTGGGGCCTCCTCACCTTTCCTGGTTGCAGCCATTGGGGGGGCCCCCATCCGACGAGCCACTCTGGGAGCAGGAGGAGCAGGAGGACTTCCTGGGGGTCGGGTGCCACATGCTTGCCCCCTGGTCCATCAGGTCTGGGGTTACTGAGGCACAGACAACACCTTCGTTATCCTGCTGCTTACGAGAGCCAACATCCCAGACCTGGCAGGGACTACAAAGCACCAACGTGCCAGCAAGATGTGATCATCGTGGAATCTGAGGTCAATCACTAGCTGTGAACCAAAGCTGGATTACACAGATTTGGACCAAATTCAACACCACATGCAGAGACCCAAACACACACTATAAAGCTGAAGTAAATCCTTCAGAAGTAAACAAGGCTGCTCAGGACACATAAGCATGAAATGGAAAATGACAGAAGATGAAAGGAAAGCGATAGCCAGGTGATAGCATGTCTTTCTGTCAGGCTAATTGTTCACCCATGTATCCCTCTTATTCTGATTACCCACACCACCACTGTCTTAAGACACGCCCAGAAAGGGGGAAGGCAGAGCTTTTCGGGTGGGGAGCATCTGAGGCAGAACTGGCCAGGAGAAGCACGAGGGGCAGAGCTTTACAGCGGTGTGAATTCGGGTCTTGGAGGGGTCCAGGGCAGCTGCAGGAGTGCTTGGGGACCACCAAGGTCCTGGACCTCCGAGAGGGGCTTCTCCACATGTGCAAGGAGAGGGAGCGGGGCAGGGGGAGAGCAAGGGGGCAACTGGGAGCAACGGTCACTGAAACAAACAATGATGAACACAAAGAATGAAGACATACGATGAACAGAAGAACAATGCTACAAACAAACGACGATAAATGAAAATATGTATCGGATCAATAAACAACTCAGCAGGCGGACAGATGGAAGGGGAAGAAACTATAAACAAGAATCAAATGTGTCATATCCTTAACAGGGATGGCAGTGCACAGTCACTTACCAAACTCTGATTGGCTACCAGGGAACAAGATGCGGAAGACATAGTCTGTGGCCTCATCCTCCTCTTTGTCGGAGGTGGACTCTGACGAACTCTGCAGACATCTCTTACGCAGTTTTGGGAAAACCTTTCCCTGGGAAAAAGAAATGTTAGTGGCTTATCCAGCAACACTGAGGACCTTCTACAATGTCAGGAAGAAGATCCATCCTTCCTCTATCAGCTTATCCAGTGAATCATGGGTCACAAAAGAATAACCTCCTGAGTCCCGGGCTTTTGTTTGGTGTGCATGTTTTATTTCCTTTAGCTATTTGGGATTAGTAGGACCTTATAATCATAAAAAACAAACTTTTTTTTTTTAACAATTAGTAGTTTTAAACAAAAATGATGTCCTTACAGTATATGAGGACGTAGGGTCTCAGGAGGATAAACACCAATTTAGACAAAGAAAATATCCAAAGTAAAGTGTTCCACCTCCAGAAGCCAGTGGCTGTGCTTTCCCTGTGATAAAAATGGAACAAATGGAAGACGCTTATTTATGCACAAAGGGTGAGAGAAGCCATTCAAATAGAGCAATCAGGGCAATGTTTTTCAGCAACAGTGGAATTTATTACATGCTATTTGCTATGTAATGCTAATGATCAGAGTCACGGTTCATCACACGCATATTAACATGAGCTCCATGTGGGCTGTGGGCTTTAACCACAAAAACAGACTTTATCCCACCCAGGTGGCAAACCTGCAGGTTTAATGCCCTTTGGGCTGAATTAAGAAGCGGCCATATTACTCTGCCTTCAGTATCGAATTATGCACCTGCTACTTCCCACGCGATGAACGGCACAGCCCTTCCATCAGACCGCATGCAGAACTCTCAAAGCACACATAGCAGACGGGATCAAGCGGCATTTACACCTTCACTCGCAGCCAATCACGACCATTCATACTGTCGCCAGGGGACACAGATTCGCAAGGCAGCTCGTTTCGGTGGTGGTCAGGAGTGCAGGGTCTGGAGACACACGCCATGCAGAACAAAGAACACCTGGCTTAGCTTGTATTGCTTCTGCTGTGGAGTTTAACTTGGGAGGTACTGCAGAGCCAGAATAAGCAGAGAACTACTTTTGAAGCAGCATATCTATTCATTGATGTTTGCGCCTCCTCTGGTTAAGCTGTAAACTGGAGATTAAGGTTAAGTCTATATCAGGGGTCACCAACCGTTTTGAAACGGAGAGCTACTTCTCGGGTACCGAGCCATACGAAGGGCTACCAGTTTGAAACGCTTGCCTAAACTTATCTAAACTTCATGTATAATAAACATGTTTTAAATGTTTTTTTTATATATTGTCATTTTCAAGTCTATATACAGTAAATGCAAATGTGATTAAAGAAGAATAGTAACAGGATAAAATTAAATTTTAGATGCTGCTCACTGGTGAGTTGTGCTATTTTTAGAACAGGTCTGCAGGTGACTCATGTGGTCCTTAGGGGCACCATGTTGGTGACCACTGGTCTACATCTTCTAGTTCTTAAGTAACTGTTTTGATGATTATTTTAAACATTTATTTTATCCTATGCAGGCTAAGCCCCAGGTTTATGCCCAATGCTGCCTCCAGACTCCAGCCCCCCTTATGTCCCTGTATGAGATAAGAGGTTAGAAGATGGATGGATTAATGGATGAATGGATGGATGGATGGTCAATATAAATTGTGCATTTTGTTCACTGTACATAGACTGGATTGCCTTTTGGTGTTTCATGCATAACACCCCTTATTGTACCCGTACATGAGAACTGAGGAACAAAAATTTTGTTACAAAGTGTAGCTAAATAACCAAAAGCATAAAGTATAACCCACACTAGTGCTTCAATGGTCTCACGTTCCAAAGGCTCCTGCATTTTTTATCTACAGTGGTACCTCGACCCACGAACAGTCCTGGTCACGAACAAATCGGGTTATGAACCAGATGTTCGAAAAATTTTTGTACGGGTTTGCGTATCGTGTTTCAGCCTGCGAACACAAACATCCCCCAAAAGGGTCCCAAAGAACCACCTGAAACACGAAGAAGTGTACATTATGCCCAAGAACGGTGTGGAATGTATAAAAAACTTGTTGTAGATGTATGTCTTTACTATACCTCTTTAAAGGTCGAATATTTGAAAAAAGAAAAAAATTGAGAGAACGTTCTGTTATAGCGGTACCTTTCAGTGATTGATAAACATGTTTGTGATGGTTTTTAACAGTCACATATCTATACATAAAATTACAGTACTTCATTAATAACAAAAATTATTAAGTAACTCCTATTTAAGTGTTACATTCTCCATTCACACATAGTGGCAACTGCGTATTGTTTGTTTACAGTACAAACAAAAGTTCATCGCCATACAACGCATGGCATCACGAAATGTACATAAAAAATTTAGGCATATGAAAAATATGTACAATATAATTTTAAAAAATCACTTTTTCAAAATTACTGTATTGTATTTGACTTTTACTCAGTCTTTTAATGTTAATTGTTTAGTTTTTTTGGGGGATGTTTTGTGGTTCTTTTCCGTGATTTGGCGTCTTTTGAGCGACCGGCCCGCCAACAAGCGTATGCTCAGTTGTGTATTGGTCCGCCTTCTGTAAACGTATGTTCTCTCTTTCCCTTTTTTGCTCTTTAAGTTTATTTTAATTTAAGTCATTATTCTTGGTCACAGAAAAAACATAATTTTTAAAAAAAAATTCTGTGATTCTGAGGTTTGAACGAATTATTTGTATTTACATTATTTTAAATGGGAAAAACTGATTCAGGTTGCGAACTTTTCGGGTCGAGAACTGAGTCCTCGAAAGTTTGTGAGCTGAGGTATGACTATTTATATTTCCTAAAGCAGCGACTCTGTTCTTGGGTATAACAGCAATCCTCTCTAGGGATGCTGCCCCCCACTCCAGGAGATCCCTGTAGCTCATTCTGATTCTTTTTTTATTATTTTTATTCTCTCCTGGCAGGAAAATTGGTTTAATCTCAAGGGGTGAGAGAAGTGGCCAGGAGCCTTTGCTAATGTTGGCTCCATGAGGCATCCACATGTTCCGGCAGAGACGAGGAAGTTTGGTCCTATTCTTTCAAAAGTTGTTTTTGCAAGTGATACCAAGAGCTATGACATCTTTATCAGGGGTGAGGGCAACTGCACGCAAATCGACTGTAATAAGGTCTCTGTTCCTGCTCTATTGCCTGCTCTGCTCTTACATTCTTCACTCAAAATGGGCAGGCATGTCATACAACTAAATATTAAAGACTTTGTTGAAATAGGAAAAAGTTGGATTGCTTTAATAAAACAACCAGGAAAAAAAGCACAACAGTGAGAAGCAAATATACATAATAGATGTGCGTCTGGTTTGGGGTTGCAGGGACCATTGAAATAAAAGCACTCCATCAAATAAATAAACACACACAAAGATAACACTGGCTAAATTTATGTGCACATTATACAAACTGAATCAGAGATGTAATGGAAGAGTTAGAGTTCAACACAGACATTCTGATTCAGAATATCTGATCCTATAAGGACGATCATTCTTTCTGAAGCCTTTCATTGATTACACTAGACCACCTTTATAAGTTTAAGGTGCTTCCTGCTCTCTGTGTGCTTGAGGGTGACATGCAGGGTCTCACAGTGTCTTCCCATAGGGCGCTTTTCCACTGCACCAGCTACAGAATTTTTGGTGCTTCAGAACAGTAATAAAGTCAGTAGTCATTTTTGTGTTTGTTTTCCACTGGCATGAAAAACTGGCACCGGTGTAAAATGACATCTTCGCAACTTGAAGAGGGGTATTTACTACTGAATTAAAAAATGGCTATAATATACTTATAATATACTTATAATATACTTATAATATACTTATTACAATGTGCAATATTAATACCAACATGGGATATTAGGCACATGCAATTCTAACATTGCAAGGACAGCCATGGTCAGCTGGGTTTGAGATCAGGTTTTTTCAAACCATCATACTATATGGAGATTATAGTGTGGGGGGTTAAGTTTCACTAAATCATTTTTAATCTTTTACAGAAAACAAAACTTAGCAAGCATTGCCATTTGAATGAAAAATCAGTTTAACGTTTACTGTTGTTTGCTCTCAGAAACGATCATTTTCATCCTTGCCGTTTTAATCGCTCCTGAACTGGTTTGTGAAATATTGATTTCTTTTGAACTTTTTTTGCTTTATAAATATCCCAATATTTATTGCAAGAAAACCACCTTGCAACATTTGAAATTTTTCCAATATCATGCAATCCTATATATTCTACAAAATACTTTTTATTTCTTGTCAAGCAATTCATGTCTCATTGAATCTGTTCTTCTGACCAGACTGCAATTAAAACTTGGCTCTCTTCATTTGCCTATCCATCCATTATTATTAATCATTTTACTGTGATTATCACTGTTGTGGTTATCATTGTTGAGTTCTTAACAGCGCTTTTTTAAGATGCCAGTATTTTGTGTTTCAGAGGCAGGTTATTTGCATAATCAACCAATAATAATCACGTCTGCAAGTCCCATTCCAAAGTACCAAAGGCATACCCCAGCTGGTTTGGTACTTCAGTACTGGTACGGGTACGGGTACTGGTACTGGAACTGGTATGGGTACTGGAACTGGTACCAGGCAGGAAATCAATGGAAACTAAAACTTTGGCACCTGGTGCAGTGGAAATGCCCCCACATACACACCTTTCCTCTCTGCGACCACAGGGGAGGGTCTAGCTGTCCATGGGGCAGGAGGCCATTCTCCAGGCAGGACAGGAACTGCAGGAGGTGCCCCCCTTTGGGAAAGCGCAGAGGGGGCCGCTGGATGCCATCCTGGCTCACGAGCACCACCGTGCCCCCGCTGTCCACTGGAGGGGGGGTATGGGAAATGTAAGAAAGAATGTTGAAAGCACACACATGATCCTACACCACATATACATGAACACACTAAGGTACGTCTCATTGACTTGCAGTTTAGTAAATGCTTTAGTTTACCACCCTTAAGTCTCATCCTCAACACTCAGAGCCCATCAGTGGGCAGTTCACCCCAAAACTGAAAAATATATGTTTTAGGGGGGTTTTAGTGCTATCTGTGCGTCTAGGATATTCTGCTGGGAGATGCCTAGTTTTAGAGATATTGGCCATAGAAATTTTGGGCCTCCCTCAAATATAATGTGAGTGAATGGCATTTGTTAAAATGCAAAAAAAGTACATTTAAAAAAATTCAACAGCAGTGTCTCTTACCAGAAATCATGAGCGGGATATTGAAGATAATCCACAGACTTTGTAGCGTACAGTTTAATGTAGGAACTATTTCCTTCTTCCGAACTCCACAAACCAATCGTATCACTGCACAGAGGATACGAGCAGGAACACCCAAGCAATATCTTCTGCACAGTGATACGACAGGTGTGTGGAGTTTGGTAGAAGAAAATAGTTTCTACATTAAACTGCTCACTACAAAGTCTGTAGATAATTGACAATAATCAGATCATGATGTCTGGTAAGAGACACTCCTACTGAATTTTTCAAATGTATTTTTATGGCTCTTTAATCACCACAGAATGCCTAGATTCTTTAAACATGACTCCTCAAAGACAGAACAACTGAAAATTATTAAAAATGGACTGAATTTCCATTTTTACTTGCTAAACCTAATATCTGTTTTGCACAACAATGGTCTTTGTGTCTATTACTATACTGAAACATATTACACTACAGATTGCTTGTGTTTCTTCATATTAATCCCAACAGAAGCTAGATTTTTCTTAAAAATTCTTGACAAGGTTCTTACTCATAAAAGGAATATAGCAGCAGAGTGATTTCTGGTATATTTAGACATGTTAACCAGCAAAGTATCAATTTATAGTGTGGAAGAGGGGGAGCATGGATTGATGGGGGTGTAAGAGAGCAGCCTACCCTGCTGGTGACAGTGCAAGTAGACAATCTCCTCCAGGCGAATCGTCATGGCATAATCCCAGTACACACTGCAAGCAATCACATTAGCATCAGAATTATTCCCACATACAGAAAAGCTGACTCAGTCAGCTGCCAGCTGTTTTGATTCATCGGAGAGAGGGGCTTTATAGAATCGGTTAAAATTAACAACTAATTAAAAATGCAGTGCAGCCCACTGAATGAGAAATACCCACAGGGAGTACAGTGTAACTGGTGTATAACAAATGCATAACGTAATTAATATCCTGTGGATTGGACAGAGGTGATGGGAAAAGACAGTCGTCCCAGAGGCTCAGAAATGTGTGGGATATGGATAATTGTAGATCTCTAGGAGGTCAGGGGAGGATCTAAATATTATTTGGCCTTCACACAGAGGCACCCACCATCAGGCTCTGTACTGCCCCAGGCCCAGAGTAGGGCCCAGCAATAAGCTCTCAGACAGGCTTTTTTGTTTGTAATAATAGTTTTTCAAGAGGGGTGTAGTAACTAGGGATGAAACGGTTTCACAGTAAACCATAATAACATTCCCAATGGCTAGTATTTTATGTAAACACATTTTGCATCGTGTTGCTAATCATATTTGTGGTTTTCAATACAACACTTGGTGAAATCATTTCCTGTCATTTTCAGCACATTTTAACAATACTGCTAATTTTGGACACTATAATCGTAATATAAAATTTTCATACTGCTTCATCTCCAGTGGTCACACATGTTGCCACATGTCCTGAGAGCTCCTAGCCGTATCCTTGGTGATTTCACAGATTGTACTGCACTGCAATAAAGTACACTGCCTTTTTTATCACACCATCAGACCTGCTAAGGTCCCACCTGACCATCAGACACGGTCAGACAGGTTCCCACACCTGTGAAGGTCCCACCTGACCATCAGACACTGTCAGAGATGTACCCACACCTGCTAAGGTTATATCAATAAGGAACTAAGAAAATTGTGATTAAAAAAGTTTAAAATACCAAACAACATAAGTTAAGTTTTATCATACATGTGATAATTTTTGCATATAAAATGAAGTGCTGACTGACGACTGGTCAATCGGAACCGATCGCGGTTGTAAATCTATGATGACCTGCATTATTTTTCTCTCTTTACAAAGACGGGTATTTTCATCTACCAGGTGTTTCTGATTGTTGGTTTTTGCTTGAATACTCTGGGGATGGATATTAAAGGGTTGAAAAATACTTCACGGCAAACAATATTTTAGACCCTTTCTTTAAAATGCATAGGAGCACCAAATACAGAAAGTTTTTTTGAAACCTTATTGTGATTTAAGTCTGGCGCATTCATTTTGATCTTGCTTCATAGCAGCTTTGGTATTCAGAAAAAAAAATAGTGTCAATTCTCCCTCATGGGTACCCTGACAACCGCATGATTATCAACCCCAGATATTTAATAACGCCAGAAGGCAAATTAAGTGAACAAATGCAATGCCAGTCTGTGATCCTAGCCTTTGTTGAGAAATAAGCTTCTAGAATTTGGGTAAAAAGAGACCACCTGGTTTTGTCAGATTTGCCTAAGCTGGGACCTGCTGCCTCACTCCCCACCCTAACTTGCTCCCCACTATGCAGAAGCCACAGAGAAGCTGGTCTGGTCAGTGTTCTCACCTCTTCTCATAGTCCAGGTCCCCTACAGACCCATTCATCAGCTGGTTGGGAGTCCATTTCAGGGTCATGACATCTGCTGTTTGATGGAGGGACAGGTAGCCAGGGATGGCCTCCATATCATCCCTCTGGAAGAGAATCATCATGGCAGGGAGACTCCCTGTGAAATAGCTTGCTATAGAAGCGGTCAGAATGCATAGAACAGGACCATGATAGCAATCTCATGAAATATCCTCATATAGAAGAGTAAGCATATGCACACCACTGCTAAAAGGGAGTTTCTTGTTTGTAAAAGTCTGTAATAAAGGGAAGGTAAACCAACTTCCAGTAACTCCAGTAAAAATCTCTGTACCGGCTGCACAAGGACGTTGTTCTTGCCAAACAGCAATGTGGCCCTGGAGTTCTGGTGCAGCGACTCCACGTAGTCTCGGGCCGAGAGCGAAGGTGACGGCCGCTCGTCCATGCTGCTGCTGGAGTGCCTCTTCTGGATCTGCATGTGAAGGCAGACGTGTGGGCCGATTCGCTGTTACCGTGGTGTTGGTAAAACCCGCACAGAAACACAGCTTGGCTGCCAGGTCTGGTGTTTCCCGGCAACCACAGCCAGATCACAGTGGTGTCACTTCTCCACTCAATATGGCTCTAGGCTCAGGAATGGCTTTAATTTGGCCACCCAAACCAGGCACTTCAAGAAGCAGGGCCAGGAAGCAGGGGTGTAAATCGTTGACCCCAAGCTGATTCAATTTGATTATGACTATTCAGGGAACAACTTGATGCATTATGTCATTAATTTTTACAAATTAATTAATCGATTATTATATAATTATTTTTATAACCTATATTCAAACCTTTCTCAACTATATTGAAAAAATTTCACAAGTATGACAATGGGAACCTAGGGGGCTTTTCCTCTGCATCAGGTACTAAACTTTTGGTACTAAAAATTCTGCACTTTCCATTGACTTCCAGTGAATTACCAGGACCAAAAGTACCAAACCAGCTGGGGTACTTTTTTGGTACTTTGTGGTGGGACTTGCAAACATGTTTATTCTCGACTGGTTATGCAACTATCCTGTCTCACAAACAAAACGCATCTGATTTCCTGCAAAAGCATAGTTACATACTCAGGAAACGACAATAAATAAAGTAAAACAAAATAAGTAATAGTAATGGATTTGTGGACAAATGAAGAGACCCAAACTTTAATTGCGATCTGGTTGGAATAACAGATTCAACAAGACATGGATGGATGGATGACTGTGTGATACTTGCAAAATTTTAAATATCGCCATGTGATTTTGCTGCAATAAATATTGGGATATTTATAAAGCAAAAGAGGAGCCCAGAAAAGGTAAATTTCTCACAAACCCATGTAGGAATGATTTAAACAGCAAGGATGAAAATGATATGAGTGACTGGCTCACAGAGAGCATGCAGCGCTGAGAATTGCATGTGTAATAATGTCATCCTGTGCCGGTACCTGTTTTCATGCCAGTGAAAAACACAAGAAGTACCGTACTTTTGGCACTTTTTTGAAGTACTAAAAATGCAGTACCTGATGCAGTAGAAAAGCTCCCTTAATTGCACAAGCAGAATCTCACAACATTCATTTTTATTTGATAGTATTAAACAGGTACAACAAGCCAGTGTAAAATTGTCAAAAAGGCCAACTACTGTACTGTGCAGAAAAGAATAAACACATGCAGAAAGAGCTACTTGACTGGCCGCTTTCACCTAGCTAACTACTAATGCACCAATGTGGAAATTTTGACTGATACCGATAACAAGAGATATTTGTCCAATATCACCAATACTGATAATTAGTTAACCTCTGAGCTACTTGCCAGGTGCTTCCCGGCGCAGATTAGCAGAATGACATAAAACATTTTTATTCTATGGAAAATGAAATTCTGACATGCAAGCCAGATTTAATAATGAACTAACATGTTGTGGATGGTATCCCTTATAAGAGGTGAATGAGCCACCAAAATCCATCATCCTCCACTACAGAATTTGGTTGATCATCCATTGCAATCATCTTGGTGTTTTGGTGCTACCAACTTTGAATATTGCTAACTTGGCTGGCATTGTCAACTAAGATTGACACATTGGATCGATGTTAATTTTTTTAATGAATATTGACTGATATATTAAGCAATATGTTATGCATCTTTAAGACTAACATTACTTTTTACTTATCGAGCTACCTCAGAGTCTTGACCATAACTAACAAGAAGAATAATTTTTGTTTGTGCTTACCAAAAGCATCTTACTGAAAAGATTATCTTAACCACTGGAAAGAGCGTTCTGCCCTACAAAATAGGGGTGAAATTCCCAAAAGTGTTGTAGTGCAAAGATCATCAAGTAGCACAAAGATTGTTAAGTAATACAAAGATCTTCTTATAGCACTTTATGTGCCAGAGTTGCTACTTTACACGTAGGTGAATACGAGAATGTGCAACCCGGATGTAGGAGTATCTTTAATGATGATTCTGCCCCTAAAAATCAAGTAAAACTGATTCTTACACTACAGATCAGTGCAGTTGAATCGCCAACCTCACAATCGATTCATTACCTTGCATTGATGCATCTTTGCACCCTTACCAAGAAGTCATGTTTTACATTACAGAAATGACCCATGTGCTTTTGTTGGACATTATGGTGGATAAAGAGCTACACATCTACGAAGCTTCCCCATTTGCGCTCAGTGCCACCATGCCTGAAGAATGTCCCGATATACCCCACTGTGCCCTGCGTCTCTCCTCGTACTGCCTGATGCAGCCACCGATGCTGGCGCAGACGGGTGGCAATTTGTCAGCAGAAACTACTCTGCTGCCAAGAAAGAAGAAACGCTCAACGATCTGGAAGGAAATGGGATTCATGACCAGAAAACCAATTCAAATCACAGCAAGCACTGAGGAACATGTTCAGACATGGTTCTAATGTGTTAATGAACTGGATACTGGGGAAATGATTGCTTTTAAGACTGCACAATATCAACTTATTCTTACCCGCCCAGCAGAAACACATTGGCTGTGAATCATAGGCAGCCAAACCCAGGCATACATGATGGTTACTAGCTCAACAGAGAAACATGGCACCCACAACAAAGGTCACATGGGCCCACTCACACACAAGGCCGGCCGCTTGGTGGGGGAGTCCTGTCGACAGTGGCCGCTGTGAATGCGGTGCCGCTGGACCAGCTCGTCAGCCGAGGGGTCCGTCCAGAAGTGGTCAGCTGTCTTCATCTTGGTGTACTCCAAAGCACAGGGTCCCACTGCAATTAGGCAGGGTCAGGACTACCCACAAAGGCAAGGCTGCCACTGGTACCGAAGGTTCTAGGCTTATCCTAGAGGGTTTTAGGTCATCTCTGTCAGCCAACCAAGCTTGTTTTTATGCTGCAGATTATCAAAATCCTAGCATGCTATCATGGTCCTGTAGAGTGGTGAATAGTAGAACTAGTAGAGTGGTGAATCTCTTTGGAACAATTAGTTAAGACATCTGCATTAATACTGAAGGGAAAGGGCACAATAATCAATTTCCCTTCCACTACAGCCTGTTTCGTAAGTATGACTTGAAGAACAGAACTTTAATAAGCCTCACTCTCTGGGTGGCTAATGATTAGTGTCTGCTATGATTATTTCAATAAATGCATAAGAGGCTCAGTTTGCTAATGCTCACATTGCCCTAGTTTAGCCCTCTAAATGCTTCTGCAATAACCATAGACCACAGACTTTCTGCTCTGTATTACAGAGTCCTTGTTTGATGGAAGTCATGTTGAGTTTATTTGTATAGCGCATTGTCATACACAAAGGTCTTTCTAAGTGCTTTCCAGAACATGAAATAAGAAATAAAATGTGGGAGTAGAAGTCGACCCTCTTCTTAATCATTCAACATCACGTGCTAATCATGTAATATCACATGCTTTCCCCGAAATCAGGGAGGGGTGTTCAGCAGTACCTAACAAAGATGCCAGGATGGGTCCATCGACGGGGTCCATCAGAACTGCCTCCTTCTCATAGAATTTGCTGTAAAGGAAAGAGAACATTGTACTGGAGGTCTGATGACAGGAAGCTTGGTCTATCTACAAAAGTACAAGACAACACAGATAGCCCTCTTCATCCTCACCTGCTGTTCTCCACCAGGTAAAGCACAATTTTGTCCAAAACCTTCTCTATGAGGGCAGTGCGAATCCACAGGTGTCTGACGACTTGAGGGGAGATGTTTGGCATCTTGGGCAGTTTCCTGGAGCTCTCGTGGTTCAGGGGCACTTGGTTACGCCTGCAGCAGCACAATTTGGGGTCAGAAGGGAGTGAGGGCAAAACGAATAACCCAGTACCCTAAAAACCTACCACAAGCTTTATGTGAATGGCCTCACTGTTGACTAAGAGATTCCTTACTGGCTTACTTAAACATCCAGTGGTAAGCATTAACTTTCTGTTTAATGGTACCCAAAGTTATCCAGCACCAACAATAACCATGTCTGTCTATATTCCAGTTTACTGAAAAGAAGACTGTTTATCTGTTGGCAGCAAAACAAGATGTGATATGTAGAACAAGAGTGAGTAAAAAGTTTGGACACACCAAACCACCCACAAAGGAGAGTGATAGTGTTGCATCACATGACCTGGCCACCTGACCTAAACACAGTAGAGATGGTTTTTCAGGAGTTTGACCAGAAAGTAAAGGAAAAGCAGCCAGTGAGTACTCAGTATATATGGGGGACCTCCTTCAGGACAGTTGGAAATCATCCCAGGAGGCCACCTCATGAAACTGGCATAGAGGAGACAGTAGGTCAGCCAGTACCTGGAGGAATAGGGGTTTAGGGCCTTGCTAAGGAGCCCAATGGTGGGATCACTCTGCCGGCCCAGTGGTTTGAATCAACATCCTTCTGAGTCCCAACCCACAGAGCTGCCCCCCCAACTTAAATACTTTTCTGGTCAGTATATAATTCCATATATGTTATTTTATAGTCTTTATAATTATTCTAAAATGTAGACCATAGTACAAATAAACCTTTCTATGGGTAGTTGTATCCAAACCTTTGACAGGTACAGTATATATACTATGTATGGTGTGTTGTGATTGGCAGGATGGAGTGGGTAGGCTAATGAGCTGCTTTGTGATTGGTGGTAGCTCTGAATGTTGTTCTCAGGGCTGAGTAGGGCGTCTGAGTCACATACTTGCTCTCTATGATCTGCTCCAGTTCTTGGGCTTTTCTGCACAGCTCCTCAGCTGGTGCAAAGCTCTTGCCCACCTTCATGAAGAGTGCTGCGATCTTGTTGCTGCGCAAGAATCCCGCCGCTCGCCGCTTCAGCCCATGCAGTACGCATGCCTCTACTGCAGCTGTGTGGCCAATAAAAGCGGCATGAGAACCACAGACAAAATCCTGCCTTCAGTACTGCTAAAGCAAGCAAATGTTCCAGCAGAAGCTGTATAAGCAGACTGATCAATACTACCCAAATAAAGGGCAACAACAACATCCCAATATTCAACACTGAAAGATTTAGAATAAAACTGCATGCTGCGTAATCTCCAAATGACCTCACACTGCATTGCTTGTTCCCTGTACAATTGAAAATCTAGACTGTAAATATGGCCAGATTCTGTAATTTGCTGAGACTGATTATTGTTATTAATGTGTCACTTACTCTGGCAGAGAAATTGCACTGCAGTGCTCACTCAACTGCTGTCATGTTTTCACACACACAGTATGTTAGTGGGAGGAGAGCTGGCCCAGAATCCCTTCTGTTTTTATGTAATTCAGGCATGGAACCTCCTATCAAATATGCTAATAGATAGACAGTATCTCACATGTACAGACAAGCAGAGATACACAAATGGGGACACACGTGCACACGAACACGCTTCTCCTAAGCCTTACGTGGCAATGCCTGAGCCACACAGACTCTCGAGACCTCCCTCAGGATTAATCCTGCTCAGACAGGGTCGCCGGGGATGGCTGATGTTGCCATGGAGACCACCATAGAGTGAGCACGCCCCCAGCGAGAATCCAGGGGGAGAGTGGTGGACATGCTGCTGATCAGCTCTTCCTCTCCAAGCCCCTCTGTGTCACACCAGGCCTCATTGTCATCCTCACAATGGTTGTCATTTCCTCACAGTCTTTCCATTTCATGTACGGGAATACATCCCATCCCTGAATCTGAATTAATAAATTAATATCATAGAGCAGGGATTGGTGTGTCTGAATTGGCCCTATAGTTGTGTGAGTGTGCGTGTGAGTGCGTGCGCCCTGCAGTGTGCTGGCAACTGCCCAGGATTGGTTCCTGCCTGCGCCCATTGTTCCCGGGATAGGCTCCGGTCCCCCCCGCGACCCCAGTTTGGATTTAGCGGTTTCAGAAAATGGATGGATGGATGGATGGATAGATGGATGAAGCAGGGAACCTGGTGGAGTCCAATCAATTCACATGTCCCACAAACTAACTGTACTGTGAATGCACATTACTTAGGATTAGGATTAGGATAGGACTTTATTGATCCCACAGTGGGGAAATTTGTGCGTTACCACAGCTCTAGACAGATAGCCTAAAAGAATACAAGAGTAATACAAGAATAAGAATACAAGAAAAAAATAAATACTAAAAAATAAAATAAGATAAAACACTAAATACAGCAGTAGTGCCTATGTACACCCATACACAGTATGTAATATATGGATAGTGGGCTGTGGGAAAAAGTACAACTTAACTTTTTCAAAGTTACATAATGATTTTGTGTAGCTTAAAAATGACCATTTTAATGTTTAATTTGTGATTGATGGGTCCTTGCCAGTGGTTCACCACTTGGGGCTTTTTACATGATATTTAAGTCATATTTCAGTCCCACTTAATATTTTTCCACCTCTGCAATTTACGTTCAAACACTAGGATCTGAATCCATGTTATGATGCTTTAAAAAGCTGAGTACATCAGGAAGTTAGATATATTACTTGTGTGAAATTTCTGTTTTGTATTTTTTGGTATATTTTATATCTTTATAATGCACCATGGAGGACCTGTGTGGAACGACATTTCAATACACTGTATACTGTGCATATTGTTGTATTGACAATGAACCAAGCTTGAATCTTGAATCTTGAAAATATAAGATTCTTCAGAGGATTAATGTTAAAAATAGATGGACAACAAGTATGAATGTTTGCTAATAGATATAACTGAAAAATTAAGTCACCGTGACCATAATTTTTGGAATAATTTCCATTTTAACTCAATTTAATTTAATTTAGAGGGCAAGGCAAAATGTTTTGGTTTTTTTTAACATAAAAATTTTACTAATCCAGTTTTAATTAAAAATTATCACTAGTTTGTGAAAGAACAAATGTAAAGTTAAAACAAGATGAAAAGACATGAATTTCTCTGTAAAACATTTCTATCTGAGAAATGGCTGATTGAAAAAAACAAGCAAAAAATATTATTGCTAAAGCACTCAAGCAGCTGACCTAGAAAATAGACACTGTTCTCAACTGCAGATGATGGAGGAGCACTATTGACCAAACTGTGTCTACGGAAGCTTTGCCAGAATTATTTCCATGGCAACAAATAAGACCCAGAATTAAACATGTTAGATCTTATTGGGAGTACCTGTGAGACTTTCCCCTGTGCTGGTTTTCCCTTAAAAGAAGGTAATGGTAATATCGATAACAGTTCAGCCCCTTAATGGATAGCCATACACAATATGAAACTGTAACGACCCACATCTGGAGCAGGGCCTGCTGAGTCTTGGTCTTTTAAGCAGGATCCCCAGCATAAACACTAAAAATAGCATCTTGTCTCCACCTGTTGCCAGGAGAGTCAGCGATAAGCCTGAGTCACCCTGGAGAGACAGAAGCCTTTTGCTCTCAGCAGCTTAACTGTTAGCAGTAAGGTCCACGCGGCTATTAAAAAGCACCCATAGGGTCTTCCCAGTGTGCGTCCTCCTAGTGCGAACATGACGCGGCACAAGAAGATCAGTCCGAAGAGGGAGGCAGTGGCGAGGTTGATTAGCCAATCACAGCTGAGTGGTAGAAACAAGCTCCACCCTCCTAGCACTTGGTAAGCTCCAGTGCATCAATGATTAGGATAAAATGCTGGCCTCCTGGGCCCTGTGCTCACATGACCCTTCTCCATGCATTACTTTGCCTCAGGCTATTAAGATACTGAGTGCAACACAAAAGGAACACAACAGAAATGTAAATGCAGTGTTAAGCTTACAACCTGGCCAACACCCCAGTAATGGCAATCTGTATAGGTATTAGCTATGCGTAAATTAAATTGGAATTATACTGAAAGAGTTTTTTTTCAGCAGCAGATTCCAAATATGGAAATTAAGGGGGAAGTGTGACTGAGCTATACTGATTGTTTGTAGCTAGACTATAATAGCGACTCAGATCCTGTGCAACCTGGAGGTTCAGTTGAATCAGGTCTGCAGGTGTCTCCCTCAAACCTGCCTCAGAAAGACAGCAAACAAAAATAACAACAGACAGATACACTCATGCAAACACATTCACTAACATAGACACTGGACTACCGTCATAAACACGCAGTAACACAAAAACAACTTACTCTTCCACCATTGGCTTTGACATCAGTGACACATTTTAATATATACCTGCATGAGCTGGATTTTGGGAGAAGTTGGGAGACATACATTTTTCTATGACCTCGATGGTCACAGAGAATGATACATCTTTTTGGCCTATCCAGGAATCCAGACAAATCCAGTTTGCCTCGGACAAAGTCACAGGGATATTTTGAGAATTCTCTTCTGTCTGCTGCTCTGAATTCAGTTTCACACCAGAATAAAAGCTTACATGGAAAGAGAGAGGTAGGTGTGATGTGTGAGGTACTTCCTGTTTCAGTACGGAAAAAACTGATTATCTTTCAAAGCAAGAACTCAAAGAATAGCAGCTTCAACTGTCACATAGCTAGCCAACCAGCATTGCTTAAGGGTCTAGAGAATAAACAATAATAATAATAATAATAATAATAATATTGACATGAGCAAATCAGGGACACTCAGGGTACCCCAGCCTTCCTGGCCTGAATAAAGAGTACCATTACACTGCTACATAGCTCAGTTCAACAACGGAAACATGCACCCACCAAAGGCTGTCGTGTTATAAATTATTACAATGTAAAATGTCGAGATGAACCAGTAATTTATATACAGCTACATATAAGTAAAGGTCAGGGGGGTATTCCAGAAAGCTTGGTTAACTTACCATTTGGTAAATCTTAACCTCTGGGTTACCCCAAACCCGCATACCATGAGTATGTCGGTTCCAAAACACCTGAGAAGAGTAAGTCCTAAATCAACCTCCTATTGGTTACCCAGAG